GTCCCTTTATCCAAATACGGTATTCGGTCTATACGGCGGTAACGGAATATTCGTTACAAGCCTAGATTTCATTACACATATACATTTTTATAATCGTTCCTAGAAAACCATTAAAAGATTGATGTACATTAGTTACAATAGCTTAATAGACACACACCTACGCCAATTTAGCAACGGAAGCCTAAAAACTAGCAGGGCGAGAGAATTTGGTAATGCTTTTACCGGTGTTTTATCCCCGCCGCTAGAAGGCTTTCGTACATAATCAAACCACATGCAGAGCAGTAATTGCCTCCACATTCAAAGACCCGCTCACATCACGGCGTATAATGACAAAAATAGTCCAAAAAATGCGTCCGCATATGAGATATTTTTTCATCGGTTCGCTCGCACCGAGCTAAATTACGAAATAAAAGATTAACTTAAAAGATCAATAAACTTAATAAATGATCTCAATAATTGTTGTATTACGGGCACAATGGCGCGGCGTCATTAAGGCGCGAACATCATTAATTTTATTCGCGGCTTTCTGACGTGGACGCAATGGCGTCTGTCAGATTTGAAAAGCGGCGGCGCTGCCACCTGTTGGTAGCGCGGCGAATTAGACGAACCCTGCTGAGTTCCACTTGATACTGCCACCGGAATGACTCGCTAGGATACGTCCTCGATAGCAGTCACAAAGCTTCTTAATTATCGATATTTAAAAACGCCAATTGCTACCAATTTAAACGGACAATGTGCACAAAATAGCCAATGACTTTACGAATTGCCAGTTTCGAATTGTTGTTCAGATGCGATATTCGAAAATGTATCGTTAAAAAAAATTGTATTGTTACAATAATGTCGTATAATTTTGGGAATCGTCTCATGTAATTTGATTTGTTTTAAGGTAATTTACAAATAAACTAATTGACCTTGCAAAGGTTCTTTTGCCATATGAAATATTCGACCAAAATTTGATTACCACAAAAACTGAATTTAATTTGTTACAAAAATTTAATGATAAATTATCCTAAAAGATAGACATATATACTTGCGGACACTTTTTGAGTTATTTGATTAATAATTCTTGTACACATAGTTTTTGGGAATCTTACGTATTTTTCAATTCAAACTAGTAGTTCCTGAGATTAGGGCGTTCAAACGAACAAACAAACTCGTCAGCTTTAAGAATATTAATATTGATAACTGGGCCAGACAAAATAGCAATCAATAAATAATAAAATGTCCTTTATTTTCAAAAAGTTGCATTAAATTAACTCATATTTTTTTAAATGGCATTTTTGTCAAATGAATCATACGTCGAAGAATTTATTTAATATTAATCTGAAAAAACGTAATATTAACCATCAAATGGAGATCATTTGAAAAAATGAAGCTGCCAAAAAACTTGAGACGCCTCATAAGATTAGATTTCTTTTTGGTAGCTAATTGCGTTTTATCAAATTAAGGCAATTCAGCCCGCGGCTGCGCCTGCGCCGATGATTGATAATGTTTGACGTGGATCCGTTCCCACTAGTTTTACAAAATAAACTGTTTTCATTTACACTAATATTCGTAATTTGTCTCTCAACGTTCGTGGGATCAATGCCTAGTGAAGAAATTAGTATAAATATAACAAAAAAAAAACATTTGATACAACTTTTATGCTATTTTTTTTTTAATCAGACTTCTGTGCTCTGCCCGGGATTTGAACAAAGGGCATATCGCGCTTATCGCAATGCTAGGCAACACGCATAACCATTCGGCTACAGAGCGTTCTTGAAATACTAGGTTCTCTAAAATATTTCATTTCTAATCTACCCTCAATATAACACTTAAAAATTGATTTTAGACTGAAACAAGTATCATATTGTCTTCTTTTTTTATGTTTAATTGTTAAAGTATTTAATTTAATAGTATATATACGTTTTATATGTTCTCTATTGACGTGGATCGGGATGGATGGAACACAAAACTATTCAGATTTGTGTTCCATCTTATAATATTTATATTGTAGTGTTTTTCATGTAAATAAATAAAATAATCATGTAAAAATGTGAAACTACCCTCAATCTCAAAGCACCACACTGAAACACAGGTGTATTCTTCATTCGAAATTAATTAAATCATTCGCCCCACCTGCCTAGAATTTAGCGAAACAATATATCATAGGATGTCATTAGTGGGAATATCTGACCTGACGCTTTTGTTCCCAGTTCCCGAGACGCGTTTTTAATTACTGAACAACGAATATAATGTAATCAAAGTTCGATACATCATACGCTATCTCGGTTTGATTAATAATTCTAATGAGCGGCGGTGCCAAACGAGTTAATTAAGCTTTTTTACTTGCCACTGCGAGTGGTAAACGGCGCATCAATCATTGCTTTTGTATGCGCCGCCGAATTTCTTAATGATTGAAATGGTTCGGACGATATGGACGCGAGGTTAATCCACAGATGAACTCGACAGCCTTTGGTTTGAATTGCAGGTTTCGCGCGTCTTGCGAAATCTCTAGATATTTTTTTATGATTAGGACGACACACTAGTGAAGCTACTTGATGGTAGTTGAAATACCGAAGACATAAAACATCTAAATAAGATGCGATGTTGATGTATTTTGGCGTACTTTATTCGGAAATCCACAGATTATAACCGAGACGTGATGAAACGGCTTTTTACCTGTGGATGGTATTTCGAAATTTTTACTACCCATTTTATACCAAGATTTTCATAAAAGTCCAACATGTTTCAGAAAGATTAGAGATTTAATAGAAAAGCGTTGGACCCGGTGGGGAACGAACCCACGACCCATGGATTTTTAGCCATAGATAGCTAACTGACGAAATTTCGATATTCCTACCACCCAGTGGGAATATCGAAATATCGTCCAGGTTACGAACCACCGTCCACAGATGACAAAGCCGTGAAGTTTAATCGCGGTGCGCTTTCAGTCTGTGGATTTCCGAATATCCAAAGCCAAAATCGACTGTGCATCTTGCATATTTATTTCACCTACCATCCAGTGAACCACATACTTCTTTGTCCTCTATCATAAAAAAATTGCTAGCTTTCTCTGTGAAATACTACACTGCGGCATGTATTGATCGATTGTAAAATAAATATCGATAACGGCAATAACAAATAATCGTGACTATCGGAATCGATTATTATGATTATTAGCAATTACATTATTATTACGATTCACAAGCGAAATCAATATTCTATATAACAATTATTATGTATCGTGTTCTTAATATCCGCTTGGTGTACCAGTCTTCACTGGTCGAAGATTTGTTTTCATAATAACAAATAAATTATTGCTTAATACATATAATATGACAAAATCTGAAAAATTCGAGCTATATAAATTGTCAAAGTAGTTTATCCGCGTGGTACACGTTAAAAAATCATTCAATAGTATAAAACCGAGAATTAACCCGACATTTCCTATATTTGTAAGCAGCAGTGACACGCTTTTTCACGGTTATTTATTTTACAGGTTTTTAGCATAGAATAAGTTTAATTAACTACGTCCCGACGTTTCGTATGCTTTGCAGCAGCCGTGGTCACAGGGACAAACAAGTTTAAGTAAAATATATCACGTTTTAGACCGTTAGAGTGTTTTATTTATATGTGTACTACTCGCGTAAACTACAGACAGTATTCACTCGAACTATGTTGACGGATAGTGTGGATGTGCTCACGACTTATATATTTTGAGTTTTAAACCGTTCAAAGCGTACTTAATACACGGTATTGCTAATGTAGGCCGATAATGACTATAATGACATTATGTTGTCACTAGTTATGACGCGATCACGTAATTGCAAAAGTGCAAACAGACAGGATGTAACCGATTGTTCAGTTTACAGAAGATGTTTATATCTCAAAGATTGCGCTTATAACAATGGAGTTGCCGAAAATATTATTTTACTTTAAACCTTAGATTTAAAACAGTCGTGATTGGACGATTATTTTCCGAATTGAAACCAATAGAATAAGTTAAAGAGTTTAAAGACGTAATACTTCTTTTGTTCTTCTTCTTCTTTTCTTTTTGTTCATTATATCCTTGGCCTCAAACCGAAGACCTTGATATTGATTATCATTGAACCGGTAAGATGGTCGAACACAAAAACAACATTAAATATGAATTAAAATATTTTTTTGTGATAGATAAAACATTTATGTGTCTTTAAATACTGTCCGAGTAGTACACATTTAAAGGTTTAAAACGCGATATATTAGTTTAAACTTATTCGAAAATTATTTTTAACTTCGGCCCGATGTTGCCCGAAGTCTCCCCAAAAATCATTTTCAAATAAATTTAACTAATATGCGTCGTTTTACACCGTTAAAGTGTTTTATTTAAATGTATGTGTCTTTATTAGCTGAAACAAAAAATATCGTTAATAAACGTATGTTTCGAAAATGTTATAACATTTTTACAGAAAAAAAGTCCACGAACGATTAAGTGGCATGGATATCGCAATTCCGTGTCACTTTGTGGGTAGTTTCACAAAAAATGAAAAAGCTGTGAACTTTAATCGCGTTTGGCTTTCAGTCCGTGGATATCTGAATATCCAAAGACCAAAATAGGTCAACATTTTTATTGGAATAAACAGCATACCAGCAAACGCGAAGACACCGTTAGTCAATTCTGTAAGGACCCGGCCAGTTTCGCCAAATACCAACTTCGACGGAACAGATGGCGCTAGCGTAGCAATTTTTTACTTTGACGTCAGTGACATCCTCCATCTTTAGTCTCCCCGTGACCACGGCTGCTGCAAAGCATCCGAAACGTCGGGCCAAAGTTAAAAATCATTTTCAAATAAGTTTAACTAATATATCGCGTTTTAAACCGTTAAAGTGTTTTATTTAAAAAAGCGTATTTATTTATATTGCCGCCTCTGACCACAGGTTATATTCGTAAGTGAATGTGTAATGCTCTTATCCTTTCGACATACCTAATGAAGTCATTCAATTCATTACCACAGTTTTCAACTCACGGTGCGAACGAGATGTTTTCCAAATGGAATCAAACTTTGCTCATTCTTGGTATAAATTTTCTTATTTTGCTTTGTTTTCTTAAACTAATAGCGAACACGCAATTCTTCCTCCGCGGTATTGTGATTAAACACGTTAGCTAACATAAAAACATAAAAGATTCTGGGTTCGAATCCTGAAAATACATTATTAACAAATTAACAGGCGGTCTCGTTAACTGTTCTGTAAATAAATTCCTGAATAAAACGCATATATGTGTCTGAGTTTAAAAGATATTTTTTTTTAAAGGTTTGAATTAAATCAGTAGTTAGATACTTTTTTATTTTCCTTTTTTTGCTGACTTTACCCTTAAAGTGCCACGGAAAACTTATTTGAGATACTTATTTTATTGTTTACAAACTTATTATTCTTATCAATTTTGGCGTTTCAAAAAGTCGAGTGGTTTATTTTGTAATTAAAACTACCTTAACCTTTAATAGAAATTATATGTATCACAAATAAATAAGATATAATTTTTGTCATCATGTTAAAACTTGTAGTTTAATGTATAAATTATCATAACCAGTAAATAATCCTCGCCAATTCTATTTATTATAAATAAATTGAAATATATATATTATAGATATTAAGAAAACTTATTAAGATTAAATGGATATTAATGTACTAGTAAAATTAAGTCTTTGTTCTTTTTGTTGACTTGCAGCGTTCCTTTGCTATATCGGAATCGAGGCAGCGAAATCTCATAAGCACGCAGATGTTCCCAACTGTCAGAACTTCTCGATAGGTGTGAATTTCAAAGACGAACAAGCACATGGAACTTGGCATCTTCTGCACTTCAAAACGGAACAAACCAAGGGCTCTGGGGATCAGCACTGTGTTGAGTTTACCGCTATGTCTGATAAGGTAATATTAATCATTAATTAAATTTAAAACTATATAGATAGTTATAGATATTTTTTTTATTAATAGTAATAAAAAAATAATTTAGATTAAATAATTTTATAACACGGGCAGGACTTGCACCGGCGTGGATGTCGTTACGTGCTGTTGCTCTAACCAATTGACCTACCAAGTGTTCCTACACCACATCGTCGAATTTTTAATACATTGTACCTTTCGCGCGATGTAATTTCAACCTTAACACAAACGTGTCTTATGCTTTGCAGCTTAAGAAAATCATTGAAGATGAAATTACAGAGTTAACAGTTTATGTTAATAAATGTTTAACAGCGTTCTGGGTTGGAATATAGGAAAATAATGATAAATTACGATAGACCCAAATTTTGTTTGATAAAACATGTTGCAGAAAGCTGTCTGTAATAAATTAACATTTACTTATTTACTATAAAAAAATGTTAAGGGTAGTTAAGAAAGCATGGGCGAGTGTTACTATGCCCTTAATTATGTTTAACCATGAGAAATTTTCAGGAACGCAAAGACTTGGAAAACCGTATAGGACAGTATGTAGAGAATTTGAAATGGGACACTCTAACGCTGAAAATGCAGATTCCATGTAAAACTGCAAACACGACCAGAGCAAGAGATTACTTTCTGGAAAGACTAGGCGACGACGGATCCTACAGGACATTACAAATGCCTGCGTCTACAGGTAAATTGATGTCTCTACATACTTAAGAATTTAAGCATGTAGGATTTATGTAAGTACTATCACGGTTTTGTAATAACGAGCTAAAGACATTATTAATAAAATTTCTATAAAATAATATGATATTTCACCCATAGTTTAAATTTTTTTACTTGGGAAGAGACAATATGGCCGATGTCAAACCATAGAGACATTTTATAGAGTTACCGTTATAGATATATAACCTTTAATAGAGTATGTATAGTTGATGCCACAGATGACACAGAGACAAAACAATTATCTATTACATATGGTATTAATAACCTGATTATTCCGAATCACTTTTATGACGACATTTTTACGTCATTATTATTTTACTCGAAGTTTCTCTAACGCTTTGCAGCAATAACGCATAATTGGGACTTCTACCTTCTATTGTCGTTGACTTTAATTACACTAAAATGTCAAGTTAGAGAAAATACACCATACATTAAGGATTACTTAAAAGCAATATAAGATACTATTTATATTTACAAAAAATATAAATTTACTTAATGTCCTTACAGCGAAACTTGACCTGGCCGATTTCCACCGCTATCCAATGCGCCTAAAGATTATTGAAGGCCAGTACCTGGGTATGATGGACTGCCACGAGAAATTTGTGTTCCTGTTGGGCAAACAGCCGTCAGACGACAAGGGCATTGACGAACGACTACAGAAAATGATAGAAGCGTACTGGCCTGAAGAGTAATACCTATTTTAAAAAATCTTTCATATGTATTCTTCTTTAAGCACCGTGGCACAGTTGTTATGTAATCAGACGCTAGAAATTTACAGCAATGTCGCAAAGGCGAAGACACAAAATTATTAAACATATCTAATTTTTTCCCAAACTCATATGCCTTTATATTCATAAAATGCTGTCCAATACCACACATTTTTACTAAGAATCAAAACACAAATACGAACAAGATACACAATGACTTGTAATTGTTCCCTATACTTTAATCCGAACTAATTACTGTAAAAATATCATAAGAACTTCAAAAATGTTTAGTCTATACGTATATTATTATCTATTAAGTATTTTTATAAAGTGAAATCTCGTTTCCCTCGGGGCATGGGGATAACATATTTTTGCGTTCTTCTCACTGATAAAGTTTTCTTTACAGGCAAGTAGTTAATAACACTTCTGTAATCTGCCCAACCGAAATAATCTATTTATTCCGGTATTCGAACCGAAGACTTCTCGTGCTGAATGAAATGATAAGCAACGCCTTTAACCATTTAGCTACAGTTACAGTATTTTTATACAAATACCTAATTTATACGTAATTCGTTTCGTAAAATCTTTTGTTCTAAATTCGAATTAATCAAGTTGTACTACTTGCGAGTTGTTTTATCGTTTTATTACTCGAATAAATCTATATAGAAAAGTAAAGTGCCATAACAATTAATTTTGAACAGAGTCAAATGATTTTAATGGACAATCAAAGTGCAATTACGACGTAGTGGCGTAGCGTGGTAATAGGGGGGTACCTAATAGAAGGGTTGTTAGTCGGCAACTAGACGTGTTTTACATTGATTCCGTTGTAATGTATTGAAATGACGCTGACTTATCGAATTAATCATTCAGAAATGCATTTGACGTGGATAACATGGTAAGTATGAAATATATATACATCTATTAAACAAACTAGAACGAAAATAATTTAGAATATAATTCTATCTTTTAAAAGTAACTTGCAAGAACAAGACGCGGACGCGGCTAAAATTTATATAAGTTAAGAGGAGGAGGTTTGTAAAAACTAATATTATATAAAATGACTAGCTGATCCGGCAAACGTCATTTTGCCATATAAATTATGTCTAGTAAATTTCTAGTGTGTAAAATGTAAGCATGGAGCGTTCAAAACGATAAACATTAAACAATAAGTTGCAAAGTCAACTCAAACCCTTAACAACATCAAAAATTCAACCACAAAATCGATACTAATTTTTCGACTAATATCACGATCCAATTACAACGGTTCCTGTACAGGATAAATACAAATATGAAATAGTCATAAAAGCAAGTGAACCATTACTTTTCGCCCCCTTTCGCCCTCGTAACGCACCACTCAAATTAAGTGTGCCTCGATCAACAGTCATTTTCGGTTACAATTAACCACACATTTGAGTGAAAAGTCAACCACCCACTCCAATTGATTTATTGTATTCTACGAGTTGCCGCTATTGTTCGAACATTTTACCGCAGAGTTCAAATTACTGGAAGCGATAGCTACTATATATTAATACAGTTCAGTATTTTGATACAGACAAGTAGTAATAAAAAAAAAGTATTCCATCTCTCATATATCATAATCATAATCATACTTCTATTATTTACTTTTAAATTACTTTCGTTTCGAATGGGACATATAAATACTCTATCCGTTTCCCTTCGTAATCCGTTAGTTCTTAGTTCTTAAAGTATATAAGGCTACTAGAGGCAGACTGGCCTAATACCTAACAAAAAACATGATTTTCAGTAAGGGCAACAGAAAGCGCTATTTACTTAGGCGAAAATGAATTTGTACTAATATTTGTGTAAGAAATATGTTAATAATTTTGCGTCACTTTGCTCTTCTAAATTAACATTTTAAGACTATGAAAATATAAATAACTCGAGTCATAAAATTGCAGTTAGGTATTCTGCCTCCTAGCGGCCTCTAGTAAAAAATACATTATTGAATGTCCCTTCCAGTAACCGAATGCAAATGATCTTTGTAAAATGGCGTGTGCCACGAAGGGTGCAACGTTGTTCATTTGTATAAACGCGGTAGCGTTTTGAAGGGCACTCGACTAAGGGCTGGGAAAGTGTTGCACTTTTAAAAGTCAAAAATTGATTTCAAGTTGCCTAAAAGTACTTATTTCCTGCCAAAGTCTACGCCAAATTAATACTTGAATTTTCGGCAACACTGGTTTTAATAAGGTTTTTCCACGAGCTTTCTCACCGTATTGATAACATCGAGAAAAATTAATACAAATTTGGTCAAAAACAGCATTAATTCGTGCATAAAATGACGTAGCCGGTATTTATTTCCGTTAGTATATTATAGATTCGATTAAAGGTCACAAAGATGTTGAGATATTTGTAAGAGTTAATTATCAACTAGAGTCTGGAAGTAATATGTATCCCGACGGTAGCACAATTTTGATGTATTTCTTATAGTTAGTTAACTCTCCTCTATGATAGAGACCTGTTAAATAATTGCAGAATTAAAACCGCTTAATATGAACGATGACAAAATAAATACCAAATTACATTTTCATTATATCTACATCAACAACATTGTAGCCTTTGAAAACAATACACCACTATAATTAATAGCATTTGATGACCCGAAAAAGTAAATACCAAAAAAATATATATGAATACCACAATGTATTCACAATGTAACTTTTACTTGTATCATTATGTACAATTCTACACAATTATGGGGACGTCAAGCTGGTTCATTATTTAAGTTCAAATTACGCCACCGAAGTGATACGAATCTTAGAAGGTAAAAAGTGTAATTTACGAATATTTGGCAATCGATAAAGAAGTTTTTCAATTAGCCCCCGATTTATGTGGCTCTGTGGGAATTAAAAGCTACTTATGTATTTGGAGTTGATGGACGCTTCCTTTTCTTCGTTATGATTGAGGACGCACAAGCTATCACCTGATAGAAGGTAATACACCAACAATAAATCTAGTAAAGTAAGATTTAACAACAATAATGGTTATTAAATAAGTCAACGAATATTAAAATCCTTCCTTTTGTTCTTGTACTTAACATCTATCAATGTCTTAATTGTATGTTAAAATAATTAAAAAAAATGTTTCACGCCCAGATGAAAATTGGTGTTAGGCTATTAATTTTAAGTGGGTAGGTATGTAGCGAAAATATTGTCCATCATAAAATACGAAATAATAAATTGAAATATTAAAAAAATATACTTTTAGATTTTTGAAATGAATTCAACGCTGATATGTCAGAAAAATAAATACATAATGTGAATTAAAACTTGAAAAATAGTTATAGGTATGCCTCAATTTTTTAAAAATCTGAAAAGTACATATATCCCTCGTTAGCGAGTGGTTTACTTTGGGTAAATTCAGATGGAACGGTTTAAAACATGTAATAGTTCTTCATTTTTTACAACGACTACACATTTCGTATATCTCACAACCACTGTGCTATTGGAAAGACCGTAGCTATTGTATTCCTCGTTTTAAACCGTTCAAAATGTTTTATGAAATCTGAAAAAAGGCAGCTGTGCGCAGTGATTGAACGAGCGCTTATCGCAGCACCGGTAATTACCGAAGTATCACGAACTCGCATGTTAATTGTTGGGAATATTCGTTTTTATGGGGGTGACTTTGTGACTTGTGGGAACTAGCCCGTTGCCAATTATATTAGACAACTGTTTAATTACAACGACAAACGATTTTTGTCCCGCTATTAGAGGGCTCTAGGTGTCGCTTGGTATTTAAAAACGACTAATAGTAACTTGCAAGTTATATGAAAATGCTTTAATTGGAGAGATTAGGATACCTTGTATCATGAAGAGTAATTATCTTTTTTGTAATACTGTTTTTCATGTTCACTATAGTAGATATGAATGAGAAATAATAAAATAGTAGATTTTTTCAACGGTCGGCAAGAGCGGCATTGATGTACAGTAGCGTAGCCAGGTTGACGAGGGCCTGGTCTTCCTAATCCTAAGACTCAAGAAAGAATCGGGTCCTCATATCGTCTTTTATAGTTTGAATTAAATGAACCTCCAAAATTATAATAGAACAAGGTTAAAAAATCCTTTTCTTCTCCGCTTTTTTCTTTTTTGTTTGGCTAGCCACAAGGATGTTATTCAACCAAAGCTAAACAAACTTGTTCGTCTTTGCCTACTGGCTAGTTGCAGCCAAGCCTTGTCTAGTTCTTTTCTCCAAAAACGCGAGAAAAAATTAAAACTAATTCTTCTACGCTTGAATTTCATCATAAATTCGTAACAATAGTTAGTTAAGCGCCAAAGTATTTTTTTTCACTAAACTCCCTTCTTTTAAAAACCCATTTTTTTAATTTACTGTATTTTTTTTTCTAAACTCCCTTTTTTTAGCAAGCCTTTTTTTTTTTACGATTTTAATGTAATTTTTTTCGCCAGATACGACTGATTTCTGTCTGTCAGAGAAATCTGTACACAGTACACGAAAGGTAGTAATTTATTATCAACCAATACAGCAAGTTCGATTTCGGAGAAGGCTATCAAAATAATGTTCAAATTATTAAGTAAATTGAAAATCTAAATATTTAATTTTATTGATTTTTTTTTAAACAATAGGAATCACTTGTCTAAAAGACAAAAAAAATCGTACGAGCGTTGTGAGAAGTGAGAAGAAAAAAAAAGTATATCTGCATCAACAAGCCAATAACCAAATCCGAAAATGCGAGTTCAAAACTGTATCCGCCACGAAAAGGTAGCAGTGTCTTAAATTTTCACACAACGTCGAGTATTATTAACAATTCAAGCACCAATGCCATACAGAAAGAGCATCACTAATCTAATTGCGTAACAACAATAGCATTATTAACAATCTAATAACAAAGCGAGACTAAGTGCGTCCAAATAGTTTCCGCTCAAGTCCAAAGCCATTACATCGGAGATACGAAGGCGATAGAATTACCGACCACTGAATAATTTGATAGGGGAAATGATTGATACAACGATCGTACGTAATCAGAATCGTGCCAGCGCGATTAGGCCTCCGCTGGGGCAACACAGGGCGCCGACGCAGGACCCGACAATTGCTTGTCGACGATTTAATCAAATACAACTCCTAATGGCCTTCTCTCTTCATTAAATTGTAATAATGGCTGGTTTTTGTCTCAGCGGTGCGATGGGCGTGCAAGCCTTAATGCTTTTAATATAAAAACGTAGTAGTACGATCTTACTGAGTGATTCTTCTTCTTATTATATTACTGTATGTTTTAGTGTAGGATATATATCAAGACAGTATTGAAAGCACAAAAAATAGTTTTTAATCCGTATGCTGCTTGTTTTAAAACTAGCTGTGTCAGCGGCTTCGTCCAGCAGTCAGCCACCAAATTTATTTTTTCAAACCTCCTTCTTTATAAGCTTAAGCTGTTACCCACGACGTCGGTCGCGTTCCTTCTCGTCGTTCTTGCAAGTTAATCTTAAAAGATAGACATATAGCGTCGCGGACATTTTTTTAGGTCATCGAAAGAGGAATCTTCTTTCATAATAATCATATTTTTTGTGTATCTTAAACGTTTTTGCAGCGGGCGCCACGGAAACCCGAAGAGATGAATAACTTTCGCCGATTCTTCGCTTCTATTAGTCACAGTGCGACGTTTTATAGCCTATAACCTTCCCCGATAAAGGCTCTAACCAACAGAAAACCGATCCGATAGTTCCTGAGATTAGCGCGTTGAAACAAACAATCAAACTCTTCTGCTTTATATATTAGTATAGATTAACAGATGCAATTATTCAATGCTTGTATCGCTAAAATATAAACTTTGTAAAAAAAAAAATTTGAAAAAATAAAATGTTAGTGATAAACCGCTTTTCTTTACGATTTTCATAGAAATCGGCCGTCATTCTTGACTTAACATGTTAAAATTAAGATGACAAATCACAGCTTGTTTTTTTTCGCTTCTATTGTAAAGTACAGACGTACTCAGTATTCACGTGATGGAAGGTATGTTACTACAGCCACAAGCAGGTACGTTACATACATATACGTCGAACTATTTTAGCTTTGCATATTCGGAACATCCACATAGTATCCAGTTTTCCGTCGAAATCCACTTTTCAGAAAAATGCTAAATGATTAGAAACATTTAATTCACTTCACATTAACACTTTAACAGCCGTGGTCACGGGGTCCCCCCGTGCCCGCGGCTCTTTAAACCCACCGAAACGTCGGGCCGAAGTTAAAAATCATTTTCAAATAAGTTTAACTAATATATCGCGTTTTAAACCGTTAAAGTGTTTTATTTAAATGTGTACTACTCGCGTAAACTATAGACAGTATTTAGAAACATGTTACACCCAATGGGGATCGAATTCACGAGCCATTAAATACATGCCGTACATCCATTACACCAACGCGATTGCGTTTTTTTAATATCATATTCTATTTTTAATTATGGCTTCACATAATACTTACTATTACTAAACTTAATATTATTAAACATAAACATTTGAGAAGCTATCTTTCTGCTATAACTTCACTTAATGTTTAACATTACTTTAACTTTCCCCATTACGCACAAACAACCCTTTTATAACGACCTACTTTGTCATTTTTATGTGAAAAAAATAAAACCAGTTTTATGTATATACACATTTATTACATTTTGTATACAATAATACACATTATCCACAGATAACTATATACATAATTTTACGATCGTGATTCTTGAATAATGAGAGACGAGGAATGTTGGAAGCGAGGGTGATATTTCTTTACTTTTATATACTGAGAAATGTATTTTGATTTGACTAGACACCACTGCAACTATTTTTCATGTTTTATTACTAGCGTAACATTTAGTATAAGTAGCTACAAACTTGAGTGTAAATATTGTTTGAATGATTCTTCTCTGTCTGAATCCAAATTAGTTTTGGTGGTAAGGTAGAAACAAATGGCGATATTTCTCTCATTATTCCCGTAACACGATTTTCCATAAATGCCACGATTTTTCCGAGCAATGTTCCATGAACATGTACAATATATAAAAATAATTTCGTCGTCATATTCGGCAATATTTTAAACCACCGTTAAAATTCATGAAGTTTTTTTATACCACAGATAATCAATATTTTAAAATAGCCAAATATAGCTGCGTACTTAATAATACTCGCATCTCCGCTATTAATTATGGTAACACTGATGCTTTTAATAATATACTAGACACTACTATTTTAATGACATTTTATTACATAACTACATTTTAGGAAGTCGATTACCCAGTCAATATTTCACAATACTTTGAATTACCAATAACACAATAGGCTTTAATATTGTCATTAGTAAAAATACTATCCAACGTCACACCTTCTCGTTACTCATACTAAGCTTAGCTTGACCGTAGAAGTGATGATAAACAAATTTCTTGTAAATAATGCCACGCATTAAATATTACACTAAAGCAATATACAGACGTAATTATATTTACACTTATCACAAAATGGCGGCGGTTCGGCGAAGTTCAAAATGGCCGTCCATTCTGCGGTCGTTCGGGCAGCTTTGGCGGCATGTTCGACACCGGTCGGCTACGCAGAAAGTTAAAATTATGATAAATGCAAAATAAAATAAAAGATTATCAAAATTCAAACTTGAATAAGAGAGAGTTTCACCCTGTGAACTGAAAATACAACGGAATTGATAATTACTCTAAGTATTTATTACGTCTTATAAATCTTCGCTTATCCAGGTTACATGTAGTTCTATAAACTCAAGCACTACTGTTGAGTTTTATTATTTATATAAAAAACTTAATAATAAAAATGAAAATAAATTGAAAAAACCACTCAGAAACGATTACTCTTCTACCAAGAGTACGAGTCCTACACCTATTGAATTCAACTATGATACATCACCTCTCGCCAATGTAATTTCTACCTTTATTAAAGAAGGTTTAAATTATGCCTTCAGTGCAAAATAAAAATATTAATGTTTTCAAACCTTAATCAAACTTCCCCAAACCACATCCCCCCTATAACCCATGTACACACACAGAATAATAAAAAAACTAAGTAACTTAGTACCTTCAAAGCAAATTTGAATGCAAGAAGTAAAACAATAAATAAAAGCCACTTTTACAGATTCAAGCAACAATTTGGTTAGGCAAGCAATTAGCGGGCAAACACATTTAGTGACGTCAAACATTAAACATGCAACGTGGCCTTCAATAAAAACTCTTTCTACCAAGTCAAAAAAACTCTAAACTTAAAAGAGGTTTCATTAAAGGTTTCATTAAGGAATAATTAAAAGTTAGCTTACCTAAACATCCTCGTTATTTAGTTAAATAGGAGAAAATCAAAAATCTCGGGTACACGTATATAGCGTTTAATTAATCTATTTATACAGCATAAGATTAACAAATTTCCATAAACTATATCAAATCCAACAATCTCTGTCTAGTGCCTAGACCTTCGATGGTACTAACTCTATTTAACGAGAGAGCAAAAACTTTGATGCGTATATTGTTAGCTGTAGCGTTAGACACGTAGGAACTATGTTGACGCCGAGACAAGTTATCAACACATACCCACACTGGTCCATCTGGCTTCTGTATAACCTATTGTGAAATAAAATCTTAAACGACAATGGATAGCTGTTATGAATCTCGATATATGAATGACGAAAGCCGCGCGTCTACATGATGATGATAACATTAAAATTCCTTTAAAGTTTATCAAGTAACATTTATTCCGATTTCATATAATATGTTTATCAACAAGTATAGTCTAATAATTGACCAAAGATATCGCTAGGAGCAATCTGGTCTCAATGAGTAACAGTTTACAAAGAGGCGTCGCCGATACAATTTTTATTATAATATACCGATCGATAACAGGGCAGTTATATAACTGCACTGATAACTGTTATATTGTATAGATAATATATGCAATATGTTTTGACTAATTTAGGATGATAAATTTGACAGTTCACGTGTATTAGTGAACCACAAAAATCGACGGGTACCGTCCATTATATATTATTAATTAAATAAATTAGAAAAAAAATGTTTATGATGAGCTCAATTATCTCAATAATCCAGACTATACTTAAATAACATTTTCATGATCGCATATTATGTCGAAAATAATAAATCAATAAAAATCGAATCGATGAAAAATCGATTATGTACTACGCCATCCCTATTGTCAATTGTCAAATTTATCACCTCGTACTAGGCAATATAACGTTTAAATATTTGAAATAGCTAAGAGATACGGTAGAGAAATCGACCGGGTGCGATCCCTAAGCTAGTGAAACACGTAAACATCGTGAGAACTATTAACACGCCTACGCGGCTACACTACCCAATTCAGGTGCATCAACAACAAATAGACGCTCGAGTCTTCACATGTCTATAAACCATATTATACAAAAAGACTATTGATATTTGACAAAGTATTTTACATTAAAATACAATACCATCGGCGGGGTTCGAACCCATGTTACGACCCTGAAATTGCTCTATGAATTGAGCTACAAAGTCACTGTCTGATGACGGTATTTCCAGTGGAATTCAGACTTTAACATATACATCTTACGGTTCAGTAAGATAAAAATGCGTTCTTTAATATAAAATACTTCTCCAAGACTATTGATATGCTGAATATACCAGACGCTATTAAGAGCGCAGAAACGCATCCCGCAAACCCCAACTACACAATATACACCTAATATAACATTAAGCCTTTGAATATTTCTTTACAATTATACAAAATCAATTTAATTACACGTAACGATGTAAAAACGACGCGAATGTAACATAATTTTTTTTACAATATACCTAAAGCACTGCATACAATTCATTCACAGATAATACTGTTCCCAGATAATTTTAATAAATCTAACATGGAATGTAGCCGACGGCCGGCCAAATAAAGTCTTTGCGGGTAGTTTAATAACTTCATTTGGCCGATGTGTGATCTCCTTTTAATAACATAAACATCCGCTTTGGGACACTATTTACTACGGTAACATTAATTGTTTAACACTAGAAATGTTACTTTCGTTTCTCTATAACGAAATTCGCAGGTTCAATGGAATTGTACCAGAACTCATGAGTAGAGTTGAAAAATATTGGCTGAGGCAATTCATTTTAAAATAGGCGATATAACAGTATCAAAAAAACATACATATAGTATTTCGGTCCACAAAAGCAAATGGTTATCTTCACAAGTAATTGTTAAATTACAACAAAATTGTTAAGTAAAAAGTTAAGGCCGTGAGTTGCTTCAACTAGCCAAAACGTAAATATAAAAAAAATACATCGTATATTTTTATTTTAGATACGAATGGTTTAAGGATCAAAAAACAATTCGTTAGCTTATTTAAGTCGCAATAATAAACCATTTTTGTGATAACGAAACGACTCTGTTGAAATAACTCACCCTTACGATTACAATTGTTATACACTATACAATTAATAGCTCAATTTGTTAACGTATGTAACGGGCTGGTTAAATGCAAGAAAAACACGGGCTCTTTACTTGAATTTCGCGAAAGCCGAGCTGAGTTCGCTGATGGCGGCGTTGGTCACTGCTTGGCCGACCGCCTGGTTTACCCGCTGTCGCATGTGAGGAGGCATTTGGTTCATCGCACTCATCGCTACGGCCACGCCATCGCCGGGTCGCCTAGTTATTTCAAGTCATAAAAAAATGTTACGTATGCAATATACATTAAGTCGCATACGAACAGCGTGTACCTTGATGGCATAGGCGTGGTTATAATTAATTCACCATAACGAGTTAATAGAGATAAAATGGACCTGCCACGTGTTATCCGCCAATTTAGTTCTTTGTAAATCAAAATCTATTTTAAATGTGACAAAGCTATATTAACTCATTATGGTGATTAAATTATACATCGTCACGTCCACCGTTGCAGCTTTGTAGGAGTCAATAGCATACTATCCATACATACAATAGTAGAAACCAAATAAGTAGAAACGAAAATATCATTTGGGTGTTTACAAGAAAAAAAAATAGCAAAGAATCGTACCATTTTCTCAATCTAGATTATATATATGATTTACGAAAATATACGATTCACTAGCAAGATAACTCTTGCTGTCTACACAATATCTTAAACATAATTACAATAGCGTTTACACTCACAGCTTCTCTGTATGTCTCGAGTAATGTAACTGCCATAACGGGTTCAAATTTTAGGGGTTTCGTCTTTTAAAAATTCACATCTCATACCACCTTACAGGGCAACTGTGATTGTTACAATTCAATACAGTGTAGTGAGTGTATTTTACAGTGAGCAATGCGGAACACTCACACAGGGCTAAGAAGACCACACACAAATTAGTGACAAATCTACATGCAGTGCTTTCACTCGGAACTTAATTGCGTTATTTAAAGTACAAAGCAATCGCAAGAACATTGTTTTACTGGGTATGTATTAGACACCTAATGATTAAAATTTGACATAAACCCCTCCGCGGAAGGCTCAAAAACTTCGATGAGGGCACAACCTTACCGTTGTCTCGAAACGGGAATTTCAAAGGCTTTTAAAAAATAAAGCTACTCGTTGCGTTCATAAAAATAAATAATTTGTACATTTGTATCTCAGCTACCGCCGTCCGCGGGAGGTTTAAAAAACAGTACTACCGCCTACTTTAAAAGTCACTATGAATATTTTATTGGAAGCAATATTATTTCAGACATTTCATACTTATTGTAACTAATAATATAGTATATAACATATGTATAAATATTTTGATTCGAATGTTAACTTATAACAGTTGATCGGAACGTTGAGAGAAACGAGTTATTTTCGAATTATGGGAGAGAGGGAAGAGAATTGACCGTCCAAATGTTTTAAGTTAACATTTGCTTGTAGTTAGTACCTTGTTACGTACGTAACTTAGTTTGTTAGCACGCACCGGGGCCGCAAACTTAACGCCGTCTGCGAACACAATAATCTACGTTTGCAATTCACCTCTCCCAGTTTAACCATCACACAAAGACAAACACACAACTCTTTAGTACGTGGCAAGCAAAGTTTGTTAACACAATCAACCCCTATAATATGGCCGTTACATCACCCAAAGACTTCAGCAAAGCACACAAATATAAATGCTCCAGAATCTTGTAAAAAACTTACTATATTACTATTAGGTACTTCTCACTAAAGACATAGATATATTTGCTTATTTACATTATTGTTATGTTCCAACTAATTAGTGATGATGGATGTTAAATATTAGGTAATTAACAACGCGGACGCCGTATATGTACGCTCTGTATTGTGCAAGTTTTTATAATCAATAAAAGAATTGATTCCTATTGTTTTGTTTTGCAGCTGTTTAGTTTCACAAACATTTTAGGTTTTAATAATTTAAAATATTATAATATTTAATTTCATAATTATAAAGTTTTGATGTCGTAGAGTTTATATCATAAATTACAAGGATGTAATATAAATGAAAAAAGTGGTGCATATTTAATTAAAAATCGATAAAAAGCGTACATATAACAGTCGGTATCACATTGACAAAAGTCAACAAAACTTTTCGCGCAATTTTAAAAATCCCAATGTATGTAAGTTTACTTCTATTGATGCCCATCTAAACTGGTAGTATATACTCACGTGGGTATCAATGGAGCCGGTAGGCCGCCACCGGGAGCAGGCCGTGATCCGGGTGGAGGTGGGGCTGCACCGCCAGGGCGTGAGGGAAGCGGAGGCGCAGGCCGGCCAGTGCCTCCCGCGGGTGGAGGCGGAGCACCACGCTGACCAAGCGAACCTGTAAATGAAACAAGAATAACATTCTAGTATCTCGTTATCCGGCTCGAAGGACCACATCTCACATTGATTAAGCTTTTTTTACCCGATTATTAGTGTTATTACAACACTTGTTGTTGAGTGACTCTATCAGTTACTTTTTAATTTTTTTAATGTCTTACTTTTTACCAAGAATGATACTAACTTTGTTGCTGTGGTGCAGCGCGTCTAGGACCGCCGGGCGAAGGCGGCGATAACCGTGGATTTGAGTCTAATCGACTCTCGAGCCAATCGTTCTTAACTGGCGGCGGTACGGGCGTGCTCACTGTTGCCATGGATACGTCGCCGATTATCCGCAGAGATTCCTTGCATGCGTGGTACATGCGAAGCATCTCTTCACGTTTAAGCGCCTCTTCAGGGGATTCTTCCATCATTTGCGACTGTGATAAATAAATTCCAATACCATTAACGACTTAATAAATTAAGTATACTATAAAGGGAATTCTTAGCGTTTCCTGTATGTTCTTTGTTTACCTATTTGTGTATCTTTTACATTAATAAAATAAGGTATAATTATATTTAGAAAACTATCAAACATAAAAGGAAATATTAAGTTATAAGAATCTAGAGACATCAATAATACATACTGTATAGTTTTTAATTAATCGTTAAGTTTCTTTCTACTCGGGTTGCCTGGAAGAGATCGCTTATAGCGATAAGGCTGCCCGGTACACTCTATAGTTATAAATTTCATAGTATCTGTATGTTCAGTTTGGTGTATCAAAGTGTAAAATAAATAAATAAATAAATACATACCTGATCGCCAGACGCGTACAAATGTGCGAGTAGCTCCCCGTTTATAAAGTCTTTGGCATTGTTGATGATCATCATCATGATCGTCTTGGGCACGAGGTCTCGCGTGGTCTTCGTCACGATGCGCATATACGAGTCGACTAGGTTACGGATCGTCTCCACTTGTCGCTCCAACTGGGGGTCCATGCTGCTGGTAACGCTCGAGTCTGAGCTCTGGAAGGAAGCAGTCAGTAGTAAGAATAGTCATTTTAAATGTACTTTCTTGTCTAACGGTAGCGAGATGAGGCAAGCTATATGTTTTTTTCAATACCGTCGTTTGGATTGAAATTTTTATTATACAATATTGACTCCATTTAACCACACAGAAATTTACATTTTACTTAAATACAATATTGTCATGCCCTTGAAGATTTAATTCTATAAATTTGTTCCAATTTTCTGGTTCAATATTCAAAGTTGGTTTCAATTCAATTTGCATAAGCTTAAAGATGTGGTCGTGTTATCAAAAAGCCTTACTAAATAGTGTTAAATCCTGGAACTAAAAGCTACGATTTTCAACCAAATGAATTCCAAAACTCAACTTTTTTTCACACCTAAATCTCTTTCCCAAACTCATGCATTGGTAAGCTGATGTCTTGTGTTAGTGCATGAACACTTTGAACGGCTTATGTTAACACTTTGCAATAAGTTTACTCGGAAAAAACACGAAAGCCTAACTCTGTCTACGAACAACTGCCCAAAACGAAGCAAATTCATCACACATGCAATGACAACTTGAAAACCCAAATCAAACACCCTTTACATTCTTCGATAGCAGAAATTGGAAACGTACTTGACTTACACTTTGTTTTCGACCCGGGTAAGGCAGAATAAACTAAAAATAAACATAGATGCCAATAAAAATCAAACAACACAACACAAACACAAAAATTAAGATTCTGATCTCAGTAATGGACAAAACAGTTTTCAACGAAGACTAATATTTTAGTGAGAAGAAAAAAGATAAAACGTGTTTTGAGAGGCATAATATGTTGTTAGTATTAAGATGTACAAAATGATGTCTAAACACACATTGTTAACACACAGCGGTTAATTTGAAGCCAAGTCCATACTAGACTACTTTCCGCCATTTTTTTGCTCACAATCATTTAAAATGATACTGCACAATTTTCCTTTTGCAGAACAGAATCTCTGTCAGAAACAAAATGTTTATCTAGTATAGACTATTCAATTAGCAATCTACGGATGTTAGAACTTACAACGGTAAACTACGACTAGCGTTTATAAATTATACGATAATATGTGCATATGTAATAAACTGTATTTAGCTGAAAATTGTATGTATAATTGTCGACTTACAGTCCTCTTCATTTCCGATATTGAGGGGAACAATTACAATATGTTAGTATAATATGATTTATGTGCACTACCAAACATAATCTTAAAGCCCATATAACAAACCTCGGTTCCTTCGCCCTGTATCGCATGGCAAAACAATACATTTTTGTATATAAAGTACTATTATATATTGGGATCACTCATTGATATTCAAAACTCAAGATACACATTTTCCCCAAAAAAATATTTCAGTGACCGATTTATTTTTTGATGTATCTCACGTCTTTTTCAATGATAATATTAAATAAATACATAAAAGTTATTATAAAGCAATATATTATGCTATAAGCAAAATCTATAGGTTCTGAGAAATATCAAAATAAAGTACGAAGAGGAGAATGGAAAGAAGAAAAAAATATGACAGGCAAGTAATTTTAATACGCATCTGTGTATAACACGTACCTCTTCGCCGTTCGCCGCTTCAGAATTCTTCTCGGGGTAAACGCCGGCTCTGAGGAAGGACGCCTTCCAAGAGTCAACGTCGTCCTGGTTTTCACACGACAACTCGAGTTGCTTGTAATCCTTGAAAGAGAAAATCATTAATGGTTAAAACACTGCAAACTCTTTTAAGTCTGTAGTTGTTAAAAATGACGCTTAAAACTATAGGACCAAAACAAGTATGTACTAAAAAATTTTGAATTATATAAAAAGTTTGGCATAATGAAAACAATGAAGGTAGATTTAACCGGCTCGAAGGACCAACAACTATTGATAGGCTGTTAAACATAAGACTCTTGTTATTACAAAATGAATCTGTACCAACTATGTTGTGCTCAACATAGAACTCTACTGGTTTCCCCATGTGCTTTTTGTATTTGTGTAGGTTTTATTTAATCACCAACCTTGTAAACATTCCTGCCCTCCGGGTTGAATAGTGCGAACATGTGTCGGCGGGACATGAATCCTTGTTCCAGATCGCGCAACTTGAGCCCGTCCAGTGGCAACATGTACTTCTTCTCGCGTTCCTCTTCATCCTTAAACCACGAAATACTCTCCGACGTAAGCACGAACCAGTAGTCGCGGGAACCACCTATTTACAAATAACAATCAACTTTATTTACGACATATTTAAAAAAAATTTTTCCCTTTATAAGGCAAGTCAAAGAAACATTAGCTAAATACAAAGTAAAAGCTCACCTTTCATGATTCCCAAATTGTGTATGCACATGTACCCTTTCCTGATCACTTGGTTTCCAAGAGCTCGATGTCCCGATTTGGTTGAGTTCTCCGACTGATTCTGTGCGCTAGAGGGATATATTAATTATAAAAATATATACATATAACATATATAATATAAAGTGCTAATTTTACTTGCGGTCAAACTAACTAATAAGAAATATCGATTCACCAAGACGAGTTAAAAGGGAAGGAATTATGATCTTTTTCTTTTTTTTTATATCGAAGATAGGTTATGATTAAAAAAAATAATAATGACATACTTAGCGAATCCGATAAAGTCCTCGTGGTTTGTGTTCATGTAGGCGAGCTCGCAGTCTATGAGCAGCACCAGCTGGTCTTTACACTGCTGCTCTCGCGAGCGCACGTGAGACATTATGATGCGCTCGGTCTCTTCGCGGAGCCGCGGATAGCGCGACATCTGAAATGGAATGAAAAATACTTAATTAGAATCGTAGTACTTTATTGCCAGTGATTTTATGATAGGGAAAGATAGACAAACATTCACTTGGTAGGTACAATAGGTCTAGTTATTTTGGCTTTGCATAGACGAACATCCACAGACTGAAACCAAAACACGATTAAACTTCACAGCTTCATCAGTGAACGTAGCTCGGACGGAATTTCGATATTTCTACCACAGATAAATTATAAATTAATTTTATAAATTAAGTAAAAAATATTTACATTACAAGTATAAAAAAAGATAAATTTTCCAAATATCAAATTTGATAACCTCACACATCCATGTATATTCAAGTAAATATATAAAGACATTTTAATACATAATTATATAAAATTACTTGTTGTAACTGTACTTACCCTTTCTGTACAGACACGGACCACATTGGACAACTCCTGTACGACAAGGTCAACGCACTTTAGCGAGGGCTCCTTCAACCGCGCTATCTGTTTCTTGACTATTGCCTCGAAGGCCATGTCGGGTGTGAACAAGCCAACCTAAAATGCGGAGAACTCATAAAAATATGTTGGAAGCTTTTAAGTAATCTGTGCTATTATTATAAAGCTGAAGAGTTTGTTTGGACGCGCTAACCTCAGAATTACTGGTTCGAATTGAAAATTACTATTGTGTTGGTTAGAACATTTTTGGAGAAAGGCTTTACACTATAAAACATCGTGCGTTGCGAAAACGGTATCAAGATGTCCAAAAATTATGTTAGAGGAACGATTCCTTTTTAAACGAATTAAAAAAAATGTTGATAGTATATGTCATCTTTTAAGATTAACTTGCAAGAACGACGGGACGCGAACGACGTCTTGGTGACAGCTATAATTTATAAAGACGAGGTTTGCAAAAATACATTTTGATGCCCAAAACTACTATTCTACGTGGACAAAGTCAATAAATGTGTGTGTGAATAAACCTCGACTTACCCTGATACCGTGAATATTTCTGATGGCAAACGCGATTTCCCTCCGCAGCTCCTTCTCATCGAACTCCATCTTCACGATTTCGAATGGGAACCGCTCGTGGAAGAGCCGGTTGATCTTGGCACCGCCGGACAGCTCGTTGGTATTGATCTGCGCAGATCCCGAACCCTCGATCGTCCTCTCGAAATCCGTCTGAAGCTGCTGGATCATTCTGCGTAAACGTTTTGTATGTCATCTTTGTGTCTATAAATGAAATGTCTTTTTGATCTTTAATACGTCTGTTTTATTATACTCTACCCTCTTCTATAGATGGACGAACTTTGACTAGTATTTTAACTATTACTAGACTTAAGCCATTCAAAAAAACCTTTTGACTTTGGCAATCTTGGATTAGAGATATATGGATTCTATCTTTGAGCTTGTTGTACACGTATTTATAATGCATTTTTTTATTCTTTAATATACTTCTGTGCTTATGTATTAAGCAATGCTTATTTCGGCTACTTACAAAAGTACACACAAACACACAAGAACCTCAATTGGTCAAGTTATCTCTTAAGTAATTATTATTTCATCTTTTCACTCATGTTGTATCAGTCGTTGATAGTGAGTTTAGTGCTCTAGTTTTCATTCTTTGCTTATTAGATAAAACACTGGTTAAATCAAACGCATTTAGATCAGACATATAAAAAATAATACCTTATTATTATAATCTTTTAAAAGGATGGTTAAAAAATAGAGTTAATTGGATTATAAGACAGTGTTGTCTAGTAGCAGAATAACAGCAGTAAAATCACTCGTTTTATTTTATCATTTTTTACCTGTACATAATGACATCGCTGGCGATTCACCGTCCAAAAATAAAATGTAATTAATTTTATATTTCAGATAGATGATCGATAAAATTAGCATTCATAAAATAGCATATAGATGACTAACTAATTTAATATTTTACTTTTTATGAATATTTAAATTTATTTGGTAGAAATCGTTAAGAATTTAGTAGAATTTTATAACTTGTGTTGCCAGTGTTCATTTTAAACAGGGAAGCTTTTTTATAACATAATGAACTCACTGCAACATCGCTTTAGTCTTGATAGACGGGTCATCAGGTCGGAAATGTTTGTACTGCTCGACATCCTTCTCAAGAGTCAGCAGCTGCTTCTGCAACTTGTCTCTGAGACCAGGGAGAGTGTCTCGAATGTGGTTTGTTAGCTGCTGGTTGAGGACACGCTGCAAGTATGGGGTTCCTAGCCGATCGGCGATGTGGCGGTATGATGGATGGCTGTAAACAATTTATAGTAGAAATATATTTCATCAGTTCATTTGCATTTGTGTATCCTACACATTTGATTTCGTTTTTAACTTACAAGTTAATACGATATTAAATACAATGCTTATTTTTACAGCAGGTTCTATTTAACGTGATAATGTGATAATTTTAAATAGCCACAGTAAAAATTTACATAAAATATAAAATGCGTACAATTTTCACCAAACATATATGGTGTTATAATTTTCGGCAAACATATATGGTGTTATAATAAATTCGTTTAATTTTATTATAATAATGAAAAGAAGAGCCCAAAAGGAGAATGGGTCAGAGTGAGACCAATAGCACGATGAGGCGACTACATACAGTAGATTTTGCTCACCCACAATGGGCGAAAACTTACCAAAATTAATAAGCGTGAAGGCATACGCTCGAGAGGGTTCCTAAGGACCTAATCTCATAATTATTTTTAGATAATCTTGTAGTTACATAATACCAGCTCTTTGAAAACTAGATGTAAATTAAAAGATGTTTATTATAGTTATTTTCCGGAAATTATGAGTTTTTTATTTATTTTACTTTCATATAAAAATCAAAGCACATAATGTTTACAGTTTTCCTCATAGAGAATCTTTATAGAATGCATATATTAGACCTTCATTAAAGCATACTTCTATTAAACAAGCATTTCCTCAAAGAATTTTTTTCAATAATAAACGACTTATCGGCATTCAAAATAAACATTCTTCCATTGTGGCTGGTGCTGATAAGAAAACAATAATAAACCGATCGTACGATCAATGAACATTACTTTTATTTGTTTACTTCTCGAGAAAATATTTAATTGCCTTGTTATATCTATACGATATCAATGTGGCTGTTTGTCTTGCGCTTTATGGATTTAAAATGTTGTCTTCTGTAGTCATTACCAGATAAGATACAACTTCGTTCGTATCAAAAATAATCCTATCATACTTGTGCATATTAGCGTCATCAAAGAGGTATTCAAAAACTCTAACGACAGCTATTGTATTTTTAATTAAGTCAATGCACATCGCGTATTGCGTTATCAGCAGCTGATAGAAGCGATACTGATAGTAAAAAAGTGGAGCAGCTCACCTAAGGAAAAACTTCCTTTCAGCGGCCAGAGCGGCAGATATATCTTTGCGTCCGTCGATATCCTTCTGGGAACGGTTGACGACGCCAATGTATCCACGGCGGAGCGGCAGCAATTTGTTTTCTAGGACATCCCGGGCATCCGTCCCTTCGTCCATCAAGTCCAGTTTCGTTATCACACCGATTGTACGCAGACCTAGTTTAGAGAACATACGTTTTTAATATTAGCGAGATATTAGATTTTATCATGACGAGACTTTTTCTCTCCAGTCTGGACTGAGGGAAACAAATACATTTATGTGTAAGGCAATAATATAACGTACTTCAAACTAAGTACTAAAAAGACGGAATGAAACTCATAATAATGCTCGAGAGGAGTACAAGAGAAATAATAATACCATATTACATAGAATATAACTATAAAATAAAAGATATTAGAAGTGTAAACAAACTATATCACGTAATCAATCATTAAAGATACAACGTCTGGATGCTTTAGATCCTATGGCCACAATTTTAAATGCTGCACAGAATTTGAAATGGTTAAAAAATAAAAAAATTGAAATGCATTTTCATACTAAACTATTATTTTACTAAATATGGTATTTGTAGTGTTTTTGAATGAAGTCTACGAGGTTATTTTAAACTAAACAAATATAGACCACGTTAACTAATTACCGAGTGTTGTTACAATGTCCGTACAATTAGCGGAAACTCTGATCACAATGCAAGGTCTTTACCAAATTCGAATAAATATAAAAAGTGGGATTGTCCCCTATTATCTATAAAAGGATAATACGACATAAAAAAAAAGAGATTTTAATATAATTAGAAAACTACTTTTTTGACCCTCGTCATTTACTTCAAAAACAGACTGATCTCTATTTGACATCATCGCTCTAAATAATCTTCTATGTTATAAAAAAGGACCGCCTGTATTGGGTAAAGGTGTTGAGTCAATCTTTAAAGATCCTGGTTTCGAACCCCGGGGAACTCACAACTACTTACCTATAAAAAAAACCGATTTGTCAAACAGATACTGAAAAGTGTTCGCCCCATGCCCCATGGAGGAGACTTTTTTACAAGTATTTCTAGTATCATAAAGAATAATATGAAATTCAGTGTTCAAGTTATTTTTGTATAGGCATTATTATAATACATAAATGACAAATAAGCTCACCTTGTGGGTCCACTTCTTTGGCAAGTTTAAGAGCATCGCTGTTCGCCAGATCCGTGTTCGCCGGGGTAACAGCGAGGATGAGACAGGACTCACGTCTGATGAACTGGAATATCATCGCTTTGATTTGCTGTTCGATGTCTATGGGCTGGTCTCCTATGGGCACCTTGGTCAACCCCGGAAGATCGATCAGTGTCAAGTTGAGTACTGTAAAAGGAAAAATACAGATTACAATACGGAGGAAACCTCCTTGGTTTGTTAGAAAAAAATCTAACCTAACCTAAACAGATTATTTTGTAAAAAAAAATGCTCGATAGTAGTATGTATTTTAAATGTCAGTAACTATTATCACATAATGGCATCTATTCACAAACAATTTTCTTTTATACTATTAAAAATAATGACATAATTTTCTATGATTTTTACACGTAAAATAACATCGCGCGTAAATGGATTGAAAATATTCGATGCAGACAGTAACTCACTTTGTAGACCAACGTAAAGAAAGACGTGGGTTCGAGTCCCGTCCCTTATCTTTATCCAAATACATATCAGATTGGAAGGTTTTTGAACTCAAGATGTTAGATGTTATTACCGCTGCTTACGGCCTTGGATATGAATACAGACGTCAAGACTTTAAACTATGATCTGGGTTTTAAATATATTATCCATGTGTTTGTTTTCTTTCTAGTGATCTAAAAATAACACGGATATAGTAGAATCCGACTCACATTTTTGTTATATGACGAGATATAATTTACAGGGTATACAAGTGGTTTGTTGATTAAATATGATGGAAAACTATTTAGAATAAAAAACTCTCTGTGACTTGAATCGTGTACATTTCGATTAAATATATTTGAGACATTCGTTTAATATATAGGGCCTTAATTCAGCATTAATAGGGCCGCTAGATACCGAGTAGCCTAACTGCAATTTTATGACCTATTTTTACTGTTGTGGCCTAAATATGTTAATTTACACGAGAATAGTGACCGAAAATTGTTATCATAATTCTTACACAAATAATAGTACAAATTCATGCCTAAGTTAGTTGAGTATTTTTTTCTCCTTATTGAAAATTATGTCTTTTGTTATTAGGCCACTTTGTCTCTAGCGGCCTCATATTATCTTAACAAGAAATAATTTATTAGAAGTGTTATTACTTTATTAGGATAGTACGATCCAACTCCAAAATCGTATGTAAGGTAGATCTTGTAGTTGGATCATGATCATTCACTACATAGAAGTTTTTTTTCTACAGCATGTAGACCTATTTTGCCTCCGAACATTTGGGAGTTTGCAAACATAATCCGAGAAGTGAATTTGAATTACACTTCACGCTTCATCTACAAATAATATTTCGAATCGGTATTGTTATCATTCTTAGATGTTTCATTCATAGGTTTTTCTTCAATTATTGTCACGTAGTTTACTCAATCTATGTGTATTTTACATACATTAAACCGCTCACGGTTGGATTACGGTTGCTGCAAAGTATCGTCGGGTCGAGTTAAAAATAAATAATGTATTACGCGTTTAAATCCGTTAAAAGAAATATATGTAAATGCCATTGTTTTATACTTCAATGCTCAGACATATTTACATTTTTACATAGCCATTGTAAAAATGTGAATATGTGTTACGTAAAACGATGAATCGAGATTTCAGCCAAAGTATACGCACGTATAGATCTGTACGGCGACCTTTAAATCGACGGACGGCGCAAAAGTTCACGCATGCGCCGTCTCAATCAAATACATCAATGGTCTTTGTTAAAATCTAAAGCGTACTAGTTATAAGCAGTTATTTTTTACAAATTAAACATACTACTTATAAAAGAGGCAAGATCAAGCATTCTTCACCTGTTCACCCCTGTTTCTCCATTGATGTAGCTAACCTGGCGACCTTCATACCGCCTAACAGACTATTTATTTAATTTAAAATTAAAGGGTTCATTTGTTTTGTTTTTTTTAAACCTCAGTACATCACATTATCATAAAATATTTCTACGATACTAACTTCAATGTTATAGCATCCCGGAAAATCTATTAACACAGTGGTTATAAATTTACTTTTGAGCGATACGTATCTTTTGTATTGGAGGATAGAAAAGTGTTGCTTTAACAACTTTTCAGGCAGTATATTTTTCTCTCTCAAATTCTCTAAAATTGTATCAGAGTAGTAGTAGCGTTTCATATTGTATAGGTCCAGTGATTCGATATAAGACATTTTATAATTATAACTGTAATTTCCTCACTCACAAACACTGCTTGGCAATGATTAGATAACATAACGCAACTATGGTATAACTAACAAAGTTGGGAAAATTGATGTTTATGGCATAACTAGCTCATCAGGCAAACATTGTTTTGTTCTTCGCTAGATTTATATTAATATGGGGATACAAACGCTAATAAATAGTAATCATGAATGTGCATAGTAATTCTGACTACATTTGATGGCCCACGAATGACCTATAAGACAGCCATTAAAAGAGGAATTATTCTTTCATATATTTTTTGGGGTCTAGAACCGTTTTCCCAACGAAAGCCCTATAAGAAAAAGGAATAATTTTCCTCAATTTTTTCATATTATCTACTGTTTCTTCGTTATTGGTCACAGAATGATGCTATAAAGCCACAGTAATTCCTGAGATTGGCGCGTTTATACAAACAAACAAAGTTTTCAGCTTTATAATATTATGTAGATATGTGTGCTAGGTCTTCTAGCCTGATCTTGAAGTAAATGCCCTTTATACAGTTATAGATTATTATTATTAAAACAAAAGTGATAACATCTAAAATCGAAATAAATTTCTAACTTCACCAGTTGAAACGAAAGATCGTGAACTGTAAAATGAAAACACCTTTTTGGAACAAAAGTTAATGACTCCGTTAAAACGTTTTGCATTTAATTATATTTCTAACGGCAGTTTATTACACATAATAATGATATATTTCTAGACTGTAATTAGTTGGACGTGAAAATGTTTTTGTTCGAGACACGTTGTCAATTGTCATAGTGACAATTGACAACGTGTCTCGAAGAACTATAGTTAATCAAGGAGACTAGTTCGGTCATTGGCCACTTGTTAAAACAAAATGGAGCGCAATTTCAATTAAGCCATTATACCATGTTTACTCGTAGTTACGAAACATTATTTTATTTAAATCTAAATGTATCGAAAAAAATTATGTCCCGGGCGGGACTTCCTGGGCATCCATAGGGCTCCATAGTGCTGCTCTAACCAATTTAGCTACCCTGTCTTTTTTTTTATAGAGACACGCACGGAGTTCACTAGGCGGATGGTAGCATACCACAACTATACAACATCCAAAGTACTGTCTATAGTTTACGCGAGTAGTACACATTTAAATAAAACACTTTAACGGTTTAAAACGCGATATATTAGTTAAACTTATTTGAAAATGATTTTTAAATTCGGCCCGACGTTTCGGATGCTTTGCAGCAGCCGTGGTCACGGGGAGTCTCCCCGTGACCACGCTGCTGCAAAGCAAAAAAGTAAGGCATATGCAAATAAGTATGGCTTCAAATAAGTTTAACTAATATATCGCGTTTAAAACCGTTAAAGTGTTTTATTTAAACATCCAAAGTGTTGTCGCTCTTATTGGCTTTCGATATTAAACATTCTTAAAAAAAACGCAAATTCCAATAAAAAAAGTTAATCAGCAGAAAGATTGTCTGTAGTTTCCGCGAGTAGTACATATAAAAAAAATGTAATATACAAGTTTATTCTTTGTTGATACTAAAGCTGAAACACGTCAAACGTCTCTTTAATCGCAGAATCAGGATAAAACCAAAATTAAAAAAAAAATGAAAACTCACGAAGTTATTACATTTTTTCATGTTATTGTTTATCCCGCATTATCATGGTCACTGAGCAGGCGCCGACGCAGCGCGCTATTTCGCACTGCGACTTGAACAAAAAATATGTACATGCGCCTACGCGCAAAGCGATAAGTACAAAGCGACGAGCCGCCGCCGCGGATACCCGGAAATTTTAGACCTATTTAGTTATACTTATGTAGGTATTTATTTATCGAACGGTGTCCAAGATTTTAAAAATGTCATATTATTTTGACAAAAAATATAACGTGGTATAAAAACTATTGGAATGAATTCTGCTACTGATTCTGAACAAACTACTTTCAGGTTTCGCATGAAGTAGGAATAACCTTGTATATCGCGTTTTAAACCGTTAGTGTTTTATTCAAATTAGCAGAAAAAGTTAAGCTACTATTTCTATCTTATAACATCGCGTAAATAGAAAAAAAATCATTTATAGGGCGAAGAAATAAAATAAATAGTTTATATTTTATCATTGTAAATTCATTCCCAGAAGACTCATACGGTGTTACCTAGAACATATTTAAATGATGTGAGTACATAGTGAGATAAAAGTTAAGATTCATACAAATAGTTACCATTAGATAACACCAACCAGCCCTTCACTACATAGTATAAAACACAGTAGCCTTTTCTGTCCCTATGTACGCTTAATCTTTAGAACTATACAATGGATTTTGATGCAGTTTTTTAATAGATAGAGTGATTTAAGAGGAAGATTTTTACATACAACGTTCACAGTTTTGCTGTTGTAGGTATTTAGTAGCAAGGCACCAAAGCGAAGCCGGGGCGAGTCGCTAGTTTATTATAAAACTCCAAAAAGAAGCATGAGGTACACTCGATGAAAGTTGATATAATTAAGACAAGAATGTGAATCATTTTTTTTTTAGTTTCTGAAATCCACAGTTTGAATCCAAAACTCGAATTTGCGCTTCACAACTTATCCATCTCTGGACGGTTTGCAACATGGACATGGATCTTCACGTCCAAATTTTTCAGACTCTATCGACCTAACATGTTTAGAAGAGTCATAAAAAGAATGCTAGACAAAAAACTAAAAAGGAGTTTATTATTTATACAAATACCCCAAGAAAATCTTTAATATAAAGCGAAGCTTGATTTGAAAGAGATGTAACAATACTTTGCTCGTTATATTTTTATTGTGTAATCATTTAGGATAGGCATTACAGGACAGCTAATTCGCTATCGGTCAAAATAATAATTATAATGATAAAAATCGTTGGTTATGTAGGTCAGTAACACAGTAGCGGGACATATACGTAACGCGTAGAACACATTAGATGGTAATCTCTTGCAATCTTATTATGCGAGCAGTTGGACACTAAGGCATAACTAATAAATAATTATTATTTACCGATATAATCTGTCTCTACATATTTTATGATCGTGTATTGTTATACGTAGTATTATTGTTCTGTTATCAACTGTATAAACATACACAAACGCCATTTAATTAATAATTCTACAGGCGTCGAATTTAACGTTATATAACGCGTTACTTGGTAAAGGCTAACTGTTCAAATAAAAAATCGCGTCGTAGCTCAATTGGTAGAGCAACAGCACGGAAAGCTGACGATGCCGGTTCAAGTCCTGCCCGAGTCGAAAATTTTTTCAATTTATTTTCGATTTTTAAATTATATAGTGCCTTCATGTGCACGGAATGATTCCTTTTTAAATGGTCTAAAAAAATGTCCGCGACCCGAGTATCAGTGTCATTCATGTCAGTGCCATACGATGCAAAAACATCGTAATTCAATTTTACAGAACAGGGATAGTTCATCTTCCATAAAGTGAACGTTGTCTATGCTCCTGAGTTTATTGAATATATGTACATACACGAAATTCAATTCCACTTTTAATTTGACATGATTCACGCATTATAATATCAGTTATTCAAGTACGTATTTGAAATCGCAATTATCTTCAAACAAGCACTTCCGATTAAGCAATGCATTTGTTTGTAACAGTTTAGATGACGTTGAGTCATCGCCATTGCAATATATGACGCCATCTTTATCTAAATCTTTAAATCTGGGCAAACTAAGCTGGACGTTGGAGATGCTTGACCAAGTTTAAGTTTCGTTGACTAGGACGACTTCGTTGGTCTAATAGTTCTTACTCACTTCGAATAATAGGTCGAGCAAAATGTCAGTTTGAAATTTTGTCTGAGAATTTTTTTGTACCAGCTTGGAAGGAATGAAGTTGGAAGGAATGTCATCGCCTCAGTGGGTCAAAAATCAGTCCTTCAACGGGAATAGCGCGTTGGGTCTGATATCTTGGAACCCTCTCCCGTGCGAAAGAAGATATATGCCCAGCAGTGGGAAGTTAATAAGTTAACACGAACCAAACTTCTTATTAAAAGTAAACTATTTTTTTTTTCAAAATCTTTCAAATGCCTTTTGTTTTTAAAAGATGCTCGGCCTATTTTTAAACAAAATCAAACCTGGCATTGTACTCCTTATTGGAGTTAATTATAATCTCCAACGTCGCTAAATTGCATTAGTGACCCTATTAAAATACTTGACTCGTAAGATACTATCTTCTTATATTCTGACTGTTCGTATCCCTGAAATAAACTATGGAGCGTGAGGCAGACACAATTCTGTGTCCGAAAGTAACAAGAGACCCAGATGTGTACTGCACGATTGTATATTTCCCAAAAACACAGCAACGCCCTCGCTTTATTAAAAAAAACATCCCATAGGGAGGAACTCTTTACAAATACTGTCTGCAGTTTACGCGAGGACACATTTAAACAAAACACTTTTAACGGTTCAAAATGCGAAAATAAATTCTGCAAGGACCCGGCCAGTTTCGCCAAATACCAACTTCGACGGAACAGATGGCGCTAGCGTAGCAATTTTTTACTTTGACGTCAGAGACATCCTCCATCTTTAGTCTCCCCGTGACCACGGCTCCTGCAAAGCATCCTAAACGTCGGAGCAAAGTTAAAAATCATTTTCAAATAAGTTTAACTGTTACTAATATATCGCGTTTTAAAGTGTTTTATTTAAATGCGAAATGTATTAGTTAACCTTTTAACTACGGCCCGACCTTTAGGATGCTTTGCATCAGCCGTGATCACTATAGAGGTAAAGTTAAAACCTAACCTAACCTTGTTAACGCGGAACTACTACGTGTTTCAACATACCTACGTATTGTATAAATAAGCAACATACCATTAGGTGAGTAAACTCGTAAGTTGATTGGCACGGGAGATATGCCTTTGTTGGAGCCCGTGATACGGTCCGTCTCGCCTTCGATCTCCCCTCGCACCTCGTTGAAGTCCGTGAACTTCTTGCCTTTGCAGTGCAGGAACTCCGCATATTCTATGAGATAGTGTACATTTCATGAGTATACAGTTATAGTAGTTAAAAAAGAAGTGCACCACCAAACAATGAACATCATAAAAGTTATAAACTCAATGTTAAAACTACTTGATCACAATTATTATTTTTCAGTGGAATTATGTTATAATTCTTATGTTTAAATTAAACAATCTATAAGAGATAACAGTTACATAAAATGCTACTAACTGAAACTGAATTTTGTATGAACAAATATAAAAATGTTGTATGTGTACAACTGTTTTGCTAATAGCAAATCCTTAAATGTATTGTTTTAACTCTTAAGGATTAACAATATTTTAGCTAAAGCTAGAGATAATCTGTCTGAGAAGTAAGTGCTTTAGCGTAGAATGAATATCTTGTTTCATTAGATTTGAAAGGACTGCATGGTGCAACTGTTCGGAGTACTATTTTAAAAGGAAATACAATTCCATCTTTTATATAAAGCATTGTCTTTATATTAGAAATTCATAACATCTCTCATATACAAAAAATCGATCTGTTATAATTACCTGCATTTCCATGTATCAGCTGTAGAATGAGAGGTCTTCGGGTGACTATACCAGAGCCCCGAGGCAAGAAGTCCCTAAACAATAATTTTGGTGATATAGTTAATTCTATTGATTTAAAATGTGTTCATAGATGATAAATAATTATAATCATATTCACTAAATTCTATAGATATAAAACTGTTTAGATTATTTTTGTTACAATGTTGGCACGCTAAGCAGGCATTCAGTTTGATTCTGCCTCATCTATGTAGGTTATCATGTAAGGAGAATCATTGAAAAAAACATTACGTTTGCAAGAAGGTATCAGGTATTGATTAGACGATTTCTAATTTTACTGTCTGTGATCATGTTATAATTAATAAAAAAATCCTACATAATTTTTTTTATAGTTTTACTAATCTAACATTTTTTTATAATATTAATCATCTGATATAACAGGGATAAAATGGTATAAACATGTATATTAGATAATAAAAGATGACTCTTAATGACAAAGAAAGTGACAAAATAAACAATAATTATGTTTTGTAGTTTATATGATGTGTCATCATTATAGGAAAATGATGTGAATCAGTCCATTCATATTAAAACCTCAATATTGTTACAGTTACAAAAAAGCCAGATCTTTAATTTTAAATTATTTTTATTAGGTATTCCATTTGGTGTTTAGTATCTATTGTAGATTCTTGAACATCTTTAACAATTTTTGTATAAGAAATCAAATGTGTAATGTTTTGTATAAGAAATAAAATGTGCTTAAATTCGAATACAACAGCTGATCGAAACCGCTGTCGTATTATATACATTTGAGAACCTATGTATGCATTATGGTTATAACAAACCTTTGTTGTTAAACTATTGTTGCAATGAGTTTACAGAATTGTAGTTAATACTCAATAGAATACAATTCCTAGTATAGAGTTGCACTGACACGGTTGAAAATAATTATCGGTATCACCTCTAGGCTTTTGATCTAACAAACTCACCTGCCGACAAAATTTTCTAACACCGAACTTTTCCCTGCTGATTGACCACCTACAACCGCAATTTGTGGAAGATCTAATGACATGTGTACACCCATCTGAACAAATGCATCTTGCAATTTGTTTACTATGGGTATAAGCTGCTGCATACCGAAATTTCCAGACATTTTTACGAATAAACATCAAGTTTCACTAACAACACAATCACTTATTCATCGCTTCAAATTCACATCATCGATAAACTGATATTTTTCAATATGGTGGTTTGTGGGTGGTTTAATGTTTATGGTTACAACTACCACAGATAAAAAATTAGTATCCGTACGATATTTAATCTGTGCGTGAGAATACCCAATAAAAATAATGGACGCATTTAAGATATCCCAATAAAATATTAAAAATTATAAGCTTGAAATAAATAACTGGCAATAAAGTTATAAGGCTTAATTCATACATAAATCATCTATTTTCTCTTAAATAAATGTAATAATTTACATCATTGTCGATTTTATTTAGCTTAAGAGTTGTTAAGATTTTGGACACTTTTGTACCATAGTTTTTGTTATATTGTAATTTTTTTTAAACACTTGAGTGCCAAATCTTTAGTCATAAAAATAAATTTCATAACACCTTATTTCTAACGACCTAAGTACCTCCTTGCATGTTCTGTGGAAAATAACTTTCTAATTTCTTATTGAATTCGTTTTTGTACTAATTTAAACAAAATAAAAACAAAATATTTTCAAGGTTTGTACGATCAATACCAGCTGACATGCGCATAAAATATAGGGCACTATATTGAGATGTATTATTGTTTTAATACTATAATTTACTCACTAACTTGGGCGTATTTTTTTTCATTATGACCGTTCGCATTAATTCACCAAACCTCTTAAAAATAAGGATTTTTAATGAACTCTTGAGCAAATAAAATTTCCTTTTAATTAAATAGTAATAATAATTTCAATTGATTATAACAATTTTGTAACCGTAAATACTGAAATTCTTTACGAATATCGTATGTGAACAATTTAAAAGGAATTTCTGGTCTAAGTATATAGAGGGCAAAAACAATCTTTTAATCAAACATTTTAGCGATTATGTTGTAAGTCATTTTGAAATATTACCACATATCTAGAGTTTTCGTACTAAGCGTAATGATTTTTCTTTATTTTAGCTATCATAGCTACTAACCTGCCAACAAAATTTTCGAGTACTGAACTCTTTCCAGCAGACTGTCCGCCCACCACAGCAATTTGGGGTAGATCCAATTGCATATGAACTCCAAGTTGCGTAAATGCATCTTGGAGTTTATTTACAATTGGAATCAATTGTTCCATCCCTATATTCCCCGACATGGCTGCCGGTTATAACAGATTTTCTCCTTTTCCGCACTTCTTCAAAGATCTGCGCCTACTGATGTCTGTTCATCAATACGAAATAAATATTGCGCATGCGTGTAATAGCAACGACTAGATAATCATGTTATAATAATTTTGTCTATATATTAACTCGAATTTTATTTAATTGAGAATATATTGTTCAATACATTTTCAAATATATAGCTTTATCAATAACACACACAACATTCGTTACTACAACTAGAACAAAAATTCAGCAGTCGGTGTACTGCCAAAGTAATTTTTATTTATTTGAATTTTTCGTTTTATTTAAGTTATAATAATGAGTATAATGCAAAATTTTACGGAAGCAACATTTTTTGCCTAAGTATACTTCTGGGTTTATTGATTTTTTCTAACTGAATTCTAAATGTTTACGGCTATTAACATTTATAGTTACTTCACATTATTAAGACGTTATTGTTGCCCACCAGGTACTTTAATCTCGTATTTGTTCTACCTGTACTTGTTTTGTCGTCGTGGCCCTTCCAAGCAGGACGAGGCTTCGTAATAGAGCTCCCCTCTGGTTTTGATCATTAGCATATTGTTTTTATCTGCGAACACAAGGGTTCTCTAGAAAGTAGGTATTATTTAACGAATTCTTTAGGTGTACCCCTATAATGGTTATTGCACATACATAAATAATTTTTATACAAATAACCTAACACAACGTTGGCTGTGACAGAGTAATAGTTTATGATTTATTTTTTATTTTTTCAAAATTATAAAAAGAGGGGTTTTCTAGTAAATTAAACTGACGACCTTTATGAGGGGAGAAGACCTAACACTGTTCGTAACTCATTGAAATATTTCATGATGATTACAAAGAAGGTGTATCAATGCACAGTCTTCTATCACCTGTACTGATCCATGCTTATCCATGCTAAATCTCACTTAAAAATCTTAATTATGTATAATATTTAGTGTTGTATTTGGTAAATAAAAATGTTACGACTGCTGTAATCTACAGCATCGTTGTACTACCCTCATACATAGAAAATTATTTAAGAAAATAGGGTCATGATTTGAAAGTTCATAAAGTAATGTTGTTATTGTTGTAGTAAAAAATATTCTTTAACCTTACCCAAAATTTTAAGAAATAGGTCTTATTGGCAAATAAAAATGGTATTAATTAATATAACATTACATTTGTTTGTCAGCCACACAAATATATTTATAAAAATACATCACTGAACGCATCCAATACTCGAATGTTTTGTCACGTTTTCCTCTAGATGGCGCTATAATGTATTGCGTCTTTGTGACGTCACTATTGATTGTGATTTTGTAAAGGAGATCGTCTTTTGGAGACGCCATCTTAAAATAAAGTGAAATTAGTTTTGGTAGCGTAGCATATAAAAAATCTAAAGTAATCTTAATTTGTAGTGTAGCAATCAAGCTTAGATAATTGAATAATTACTTTACTTAGTGATACGGACCAAGGTATTAGTTTATTTTCGATTTGTTTTATATTTTATAGCGATAAAAATTACTTTGTTATTTACAATCCTCTACGTCTAGGTATATAATTGTTACAATCGTTCATGATCAAACTTTGTGTATGTAATTATTCTAGTGAAGTATAAGATTTTGGTGTAGCAAAATTGGAAGTCATCGATCCAGCGTCCGTTCAACTCTCGGATGTAACACGTCAATATAACTTTGAGGGCAGGGCCTAAAATTGTTCTTAAAACATAAGTGCTGTGAAAGTGTTTATAGAATGTCTGTCATCCGTTGCTTCTAACTTTGTTTTACTAATTTTCTTGTATTAAAAAGAATCTTAGAAAGTATTTTTACGATAAATTGGTGAAGTGAACAACAGCTTGTGAAGGACGGACCTTTTTGGTGACAGTGTACAAATTGGAATCAGAAGTTTTATAGTATTTGTGGTGGTTACAGTTGTTGGTCAGTGCGAGGGTGTCCTCCTGATGGTGTTTACATCGCAGCATGTCTGCACTCTCGACGCCGAGTGGCGGAGGAAATACGGCGCAGAGCAAGCCGACGCCCGGCAAGCAAAAATATCAGAAATTGGACATCAATAGTCTGTACTGCGCTAATAGGGTATGTTTCATCGAAATAAATTGATAATTCTTCTAAATCTTAGCTAAGAGTATTTTTTAACTATATAAAAGCAGGGTTTACATAGTTCTTAAATTAAACAATTAAAAATTTGTAACTGATCAATATTGTCAGTTAAATTTGTATTGTAAAATGGTCAAAGAATGAACAGATTCTCTTTAGTACTTACAGTAACAATAAACATATCTATTGTTTTTCATTTAACTATATCATTATACATTCTTATGTAACTTGTCAAAGTATGTTTGTTATGTATAAACTTATATTATTATTGTACTTACAAATATCCCACCTTGTATACTTTCCTAATTGAGAATTTTAATAACTTCCAGAATGAAAATTCTGAACCGTCCTCTGTAAAATCACAATTAAGCCGTAAACATGGAATGCAAAGTCTTGGGAAAGTGCCTTCTGCAAGGCGTCCTCCGGCCAATTTGCCTTCTTTGAAAACTGAAACTGGTCAAGATCCAAGTGCTAAGTATGTTAATAATATATCTTGTAGATAAATATAATTATTTCTATTTAACTACAGCAAATTCAAGTGAAAGGAAATCCTAAGCATTGTTAGCGGAAATTGTTCATTTACTTACTAATGGCTACCTAGTTATTAAAAGAAGTAAAATTCAAAACATCAGAAGTATTCATAATTATTTCAATTTTCAGCTCAGTTGCTACTGTCGCAACCACTGTAACTACTACACCAACATGCTCCACACAATCAATAGTAAGTAGTGTTTGAAAATAATTAAATACTCCCCTTATATATAGTTGTACATTCATCTACAAATAATGAACAAAATAGCTGTGCAAATCATTAATTATTACTTTTACCTTGATCATGAAAAAAATTGCAGTTTTACATTCTAGGTCATGACTCAATTAGCGAAAGCATTGATGTCAAGGCAAGGTATTATGTTGCTTCAGCATTATTATTTGAGGATTAAAGTATGTTATGAATTTTCCACAGTAAGTGCAAATTTTGTGCACAGATAGTATTAAAGCTATATTTAACTATTTTTTATTTTCCTTTAGACAACTTCAACACAGAGTGGTGCGGCTGCGGGGGCTGCATCGGCGGGAGGATGGGTGTCTCTACCACCTCCATCATCTCCACACTTCAGGACAGAGTTCCCTTCATTAGAGGCAGCTGCTCAACCTTCACACCGTTCATCAGATCATTCATCTGCCCATTTGCAACTCAGACCACAAAGTATGTTATTTAAACTATAAAGGTGTTATTTTTATTACCCTTTTGTGTTTTAAGCATGTTAAACTAATGTCTAAATTATATTACAGCGGAAGGCAGTTGGACGTGCGGTGGAAACGCAGGGGCGCGCCAGGAGGTATCGGCCTCACCCGCAGGCGCGCCCGCCTCCTCGCCCGCTTCACAGCCAACTCCCGCCTACCGAGCCATTGTGCCATCCTTCGTGAGTTTAAAACTAATTAAGATTAAAAAATCTCAATATACAGACTGTATGGATTCTGCATAAACCAAACAGAATATTGAACATTGAGTGTGATTTTATTGCAGCTGATGAAAGGTAGCGCTGGTAGTGGCCTTGGAATGGGACCTTTGAACACACTCCGTGATAACAGAAGTAATGGAAGTAGCAATACAGGAGCAAACTCAAGTGGTAATAATTCTGGAGCGGCCAGAACTAACCCAAGGCCAGCCACCACGCCGAGAGCTGTGGAGGTTCTTACGGCGCGACCTATCTTACGAGATGAAGAAATATCGTCCCTCGATGATATATCGCGTGATGCAGGATGGGCACAACATGATGACATTGATTATGAGTAAGCTATATTTAACTACAGCTTGATTTCTTTATATATATTTTATAATACAAAGATGACTAGATCATTATATCATAAAAATAGCTTTAACACTATGTAAATGTTGGTTTCAGTCAAAAATTGGATTTCTCTGATGGCGAGTCTTCTGCACCCGCCCCTAAAATAAGCAACAAAAATAATAACCGTGCCAGTATTGATGTTGAACGCGTAGATTCTAAGGTTCAGGATCCCGGTGATGAGGAGCAGCTGTGGGCAGAGCGAAGACAGAAACAAAGTAATGAAGTTGCTCAAGCTGTTGCTCGAGCGAGACAGCGCAAAGAAGAAGAGCAACGTCGGCAAGTGAGAGACGCTGCGGTGCAGCACCAGCCTAAGGATGGGCGCGAAAGAACTGAGCGAAATGTACGTGACCGTAACGATCACAGAGACCGGGATCACGATAGCAGGGAAAAAGATCGCATTGATAATAGAGACCGGGATCGTATCGATGTACGGGACAAAGAACGAAATGACCGCGATAGAGACCTTAGGGACAAGGAGCGTCTAGACAATAGAGACCGTGATCGCATGGATAATAGAGATCGTTTCGACAACAGAGACCGTGACCGTGATAGGCCCGTCGACAATAGAGATCGAAATAGACTTGACAATAGAGAGCGTCAAGAAGACAAAGACAGAGACCGTAGCGATCGCGATAGGTTCGACCGAGATAGAGATCGCGACAACAGGGAGTTTCGCGATCGGGAATCTCGCGATTATGGTCGCGATCGCGATCAGTCAAATCCAGCGTTCTCAAAAACATTTCAGGCAAATATACCTCCAAGGTTTTTACGCCAACAACAAAACCGGCAACAAGATGACCAAAATAAAGGCTGGGCTTTTAGTGGAAAATCGGCGCCGCGACGTCAAGATCCTCCGTCCTATAACGCTCCTAGGCATGCATCTAATAACGGTCGGCGGTCATATTCAAGGTAATTGGCTTTCTACACCTCTACTGTTTTATTTGTTATACATTATATCTTATGAAGTTAAATGTGTATTATTTTTTCTTTTAGGGATTATTCCGATCGTGAAGATGAGGTAAGGCGTGATAAAGATGTTTCTGGGCAACAATGGAGATCAGAAATGCAAGATCAAGAAAGGCCTGCTAGAGACTTTGACCGTTCGAATTCCAAAGACGGTAATGAAAGTAAAGATCGACGAATCGATCTAGAAAGAAAACCATTTGAAGGAGTTTCGGAAAGTAGTAGAACAGCAGCCGACAAGCTTACAGAAGTATTTGAGCGAAAAAGTATTGGGTTGTTTGAGCCTTTTACATCGCCTGAAACGCAGGGGCAAGTCAATGCTCCTGAAAGAAGAATTACACCGCCATCAAATGTACCGCGTGATTCCTCTGAAAAAGATATCGGTAAAGCTTCTTGGGCTGAAGTTGCCAAAGATGATGGCAGCAATGTAAACCCGACCAAGACGTCGACTTCTGATAATACTGTGTTAATTAAAGAGAATGACAAAGTTTCGAAAGAATCTGCCTACAAAGAAGCTAAAGAAATTGTACCTGCTTCACCACCAATAGCACAAATCTCACAACAAACTTCTAACAATATTTCTAATGATAATAATTTGACTCAAAATTATAATAATAAATTTACAAATAATTCATTACATCCTAATCAAAGCTTTGTTCAAACCAATCAAAATGTTCCTACAACTATGCAAAGCCATATGAATGTGTCTGGGAATACTTCTGTTCCAACCTCCTTTACTGAAAACCAATCTCTTCCTAAAACTAGTATCTCTCCTCCTAAGATTGAAATTCTATCTAATTTACCTCAAGTACCACAGCAAGCGACTTCTGAGAATAATGTTTCTCAACTAAATGTTATGAACAATTTGAATTTACAAAAAACGGACAAGGAACTTTCTGAGCCTGAAGCTATAGTATCTAAGCCTGAGCCAAGTAATTCAATAAATACAAAAGTTAATGACCAACATTCAATGGATAATATCCAAGGCGAGTTATTTAAAAAAGTTGGAGATGAGAAAAAGAATGAGAGATTTAGCAACGAAAGTCTTAATAAAATACCAAATAAAGAACCAATAGAAAGAAAATCAAGTGGATCTGGATCTGAAAAGAAAGGTAGATCTTTCGGTGGCGGCGGTTATAATGTATATAATAGAGGTTGGGGACCAAGAGAATCTCGTGGACGCCGCTCGCATCGAAGTTCTCGTTCTAACAACAGAGCAAGTGAATCTGACGGTTCTACGGACGCAGAACGGAAAGAAAGGCGTCGTGCGCCACGCAGTCCGAGAGGAGCTAAGAAACAGGAAAAAACCGAAAACATTTCTAATTTAGTTTCTGATCCCGGCCAGGTTCCTTGTACTACTGAAGCAATGGAAAATAGAGAACCGTTTGCCCCACGTGGGCAGCCGTCGCGTCGAGGTCGAGGAGGTTTCCAAGGTATAACGAGACCTCCAGCACCTACCAAAAGAGTGACTGGCTATGGACCGCCAAATACTAAAAGTCCATTCAGTCAAGCAAATAGAGTCAAAGACACTGATGATAATAAGGATAGTATTCAGGATGATAGAAGTCAGCCAATTCTTAGATCTCGCGGACCAACTGGTAAAGGTCGTGAGCGTCGTTCCAAAGGCGGGTTAGGACCGCACAGTGGGGAAGATGAGAATTGGGAAACAACTTCTGAACATTCCGAAGGCGGCGGGACTCGTCGTCGTTCTATTGGAGGTAGACAATCTGGCCAATCTCTAAGAGGTAACCGAAACCAAAACTCTGGCAACAGACAGAGTGGTCGCAATACACAAGGGGGTGCGAAAAGAGAACCTTTATCAGACAAAGGAGGTGAAGTAGTAGAGGCTATGAATGATCTTAAATTATCAAATGCTAAAAATGATGAAGTGGTCGATGATGGTTTTCAAGAAGTCCGCAACAAAAAGAACTCAAAAGATGGCCGAGGGCCTCCTGTCAATACAAAAGAAGAAAATCAAAATGGCTCAAAGCAACCTCGGTCAAGATCAAATCAAGGAGGCGGAAGAAATGGCTCATCTAGTAGAAATTCTGAGAAACCCAATTCACGTGGTTCAGCGCCCCTTTCTGGTAAAGCCAATTCACAATATGATAGACCGCGAACTGCTAATCTCGCTCCCCGGTTCGTGAAGCAAAGGCAGAAACAACAAATGGGCTTGGTATCTAGTTTCTTACCTGATACTGGTGCAGCGCCGCCTCCACCAACCGTCAATGCCTGGGACAAACCAATCGCGCAAACCCTACGCGGAAATGTTGAGGATCCGGTTGACGTTGTTGATAAATCGAGCCAATCGAGTCAAAGGAGCACCCCAGGAGATGCACCAATAGAAGCTAAGCCTAATCCACCTCCGGCCCTAGTCACCGAAAAGACTGGTGTGCTCGATGGTGCAACTCCTCCGGTGGAAACTATTATTTTCGAAAATACAAATTATAAAACTCCACCTGCTGAAGCTTTAAAGCAAAAATACCAGCCTAGCGTTAATACAGTAAAATCTCAGGAAGAAGTGGCTAGTGCAATGGAATCTAGAGTTCTGCAATTTAATGGCGATGTTAGACCTCGTCCAAGATCCATTCAGGATATTATCGCAGAGACCGGTAGACCCGTCACAGAAGCTGACGGATCTCTTGGGCTTCCTATGTCATTTGAAGCCACTCAAAAAACTGAAGATTCGTCTGATATGAAACTTGATTTTGCGTTTGACTCCGACCTTGGCCAACTAACTGAAGACAAAACTACAAAGAGTCTCGGATTGCCGCGCGCCACTCACATGAGCACCTCGAATACGATCTCTCCATCTGCGGCGGATCTCAATTTGAAAATTGCCAGTGTAAAGAAAGTTTGGGAGATGCCGGCCGTCGTGGAAGGAACTGAGGAACTACAGTTTACTGGTTTCGAAGAAAGCAATCCTGACACCGGAGCGCCACCGAATGTGTGTAAGGTCAAACCTACCCAGCAATTGCAATCACCACCACCCCAACATTACAACCACGTCGGTTATCCCGGAAGCTACGGCGGCTTGTCGGTGCCATCCCCACCGGCAGTACTGTTTAATTCGTCCCAGCAGATATTAGGTTCGTCTCAACAACTACAACAACAGGGCGGACTATATGGAGCATTTTTAGATCAAACGAGGGGACAATTCGGCGGATTTCCAGCGACACCTTATGGGGCGGGCTCTGCGACTCCATACAACTATCAACCTCCACCAGATATGTTTCAGAGTCTTCAGAGTCAGTACCGAATGGTAAGATATGCTATTTTTATATAATGTATGTATGTTGCTATATACCAACTTACAGCATAGCACACATAAACATTTTCACTATAACATCTAATAAGCAAATAAATTTATAGGCCGCCGCTGGAGGTGGCGCCGCATTTGGGCAGTCCGGACAGTTGGGTAATAGTCCCAGTACAGTTCTTATCTCAAGTACATCTAATTCATTGATGTCCGCCACAGTTAAACCTTCATCACAACAGATTGGTGCAATTGGTTAGTAGTAGTGATTTGAATTTACATTATTATACATAATTATTTTCTTTATATGTTTCACTCGTCCGTTTTATTAAAAGCAAAGTGATAACCTATTGCGCCCTTACGTAATATAAAAAATCGAATTTATACTAATATTATTTATTTAACAGGTAGTAAAGGCGGTGGCGTTAGTGGCGTCGGCGGTGTGGGTGGCGTGAACACGTTCCAACAGCAGTATCTAGGGTATTCGGGGCCAGTGGGCGAGTCTCCATACTCTCTTCCGGGGCTATTGCCTCGACCGGCTCCTCCCGCGAACTCGTACTACTCGCCGTACCAGCCACCCGCGGCGCCCGCGCCCACCTACCCCTTACAGTTCACACAGCCTGCGCAATCGAACGCGTTCAGCTCTCAGTTCCTCTCCTCGCAGTTGCATGTCGCTGCTGCAGTTCAACAGATGCAAGTTAGTACATACTTTAATAATTAATCATAAAATAACACGTGCTTGGTCGAAACCACCACTAACAGCATGCCATACATACATACAACGTGCACATATGTCATTTTTTGCACCGCGCTCAATTATACAAAAAGCTCATTCTGGTGCAGTTTGCATTATATTTAATTGCTATAAAGTTATGCTAATACGCTAAATACCATAATGCTTAGGTCAGTTAGAATGTTTGAAGAACTGTGAATTAAGTAAGTAAGAGTTAATAAAGTATTTTAGCATTGTAAAAAAAAATAACAATTTAAAAAATAATCATTCTCTATAATCTTTGTTTTCTATTTAAAATGGAAGGAACTTGGAATGGAACTCTCCTTGAATACTAAAAGACTTATAGCTCGGATATTTAATTATTGATATGAGATACAGTAAAGGTTTCTTTTTTTTTGCAGCAACAATACCGTGCGCCAATGCAGCAACAATATGCGCCGCAGCCGCGTCCGCCGCCACAGCAACAACTCAAGAGTCCACTGCACGAACACGCCAACGGCTTCGCGCCGCTCTGCGAATCTGGTTCGCCGACTCCGAAAGGCGTCGCGAAGCCTCAGAAGCCGCCACACTCCCCGCCTCAACACAAGTACCACGCGCCACCTCCTCACTCCCAGCACCTGCAACACCCTCCACCTTCGCACACGCCCCATCAGCACCATCACCAACAACACCAACAGCAGGTAACTAATAATGATAAAAATATTCAAATAAAATTGCAGGGTTGAAGGGTTGCCTAGAAGAAATCGCTTAAGGCCGCCCATTACCTCCGTAGTATATGCATTATATTCGTTTTTTTTTATTATAAATAAATGTAATTTTGTGTTGAGTCAATTGAGATTTTTAAGCCCTTTTTTATATTTTAAAGCGCTCCGTATAATTCGAATCTTAGTCCTGAGTACGATGTAGGGGAATTCTGTCCGAATAGACGACGAGTGGTTTAACATAATAAGTAATCAGTTTTTGCACATGTAAAGCAACTAGTCGGCGGCGGAAACAACGGCCGGGGGTGCGGCAATGGCAACGCCATGAATCGCAACATGATGCCACAAAGGTACCCCGCGCCCATCCAGCGGCCACACGCGCCCGCGATGCCCATGTATCGCGCGCCACAGCCGCCGCGGCAACACCATGCGCCAAGGCACAACCTCTACTACCACCATCCCCCGCGCAGTGAGTACACTAAACTTATTACATACTACTAAATTTTTAAGACTGGTTGTCACCAAGCGAGTTAGACTGTTTACTTTCATACCATTTTTATTTTAGTGCTTTCATATTTTTTATTCACATAATGTATTTAAATATGACGTAGCTGAACGAAATACTCTGTAGACGAAAAATGGTAATTGGGTAAACTCGCAAAACATAAAGCGCAATTCGAATACAAAATGCATGTTGTCTATTGGCGATTAAGTTGCGTCATTAGCATAATTGTTAGGGATTCATAACCTTACTACAAATTTATCCAACTAAGCCCACTGCTAAAATTATGGGTTCACCAATGTACTTCAAATTAACAGATCTATGTGAGATGGAATATTCAGTAAAGCATAAAATTGTCGCGAACAAATGGTGTCGTGGTTCTGATAGTTAATGTTAAGTATAATTTTAATAAATTTCAATGGCCGAACGCCAAATCACTTCTCAAATGTTGATGGGAGTACCCACTTTGTTGCCAGATTCTGGCTACTACAATAGACCATCTCATCTGGAGTAGGACCCCTCGAGTGTCAAGGTAATTCTATCTTGTGCTGTCCGTGTTCCCAGAATGGTATACCACGGTTAGGATCTATTTTAGTAAATGTCAGTAAATTTGATATCTTTTTTCGCGAGGTATAAAAACTTAATATCCCCTTGCAAACTCACAACTTCGAGACTGTCAATTTATTGTGATTGCCATAAATTGAAGTCGGGTTGTTAAAACTAAACACTGTTTTAATTGATCAATGTAATGTCACTCGGTGTTGTACGATTCTTGTATGCAATAAACAGCTGAGTGATTCTGTTTAAATATCTTAGTGTAAACGTAATTCATTTGTCTTCTTGCTTATGTGGTATATTGGGCTACTTGTCATTACATTGACCAGTTTGATACATGTCATTGTGGAAACATCTTTGCTAATCAATATTCCACAATTAAGGCGTGATATTTAAAAATCGTGTTCACACAGATGGCAGCGGTGGCGCCGAGCAACACTCGCGCGAGGGTGGAAACACGCCCTCCACTGTCGAGGAACCTGTAGAGGTGCCGCCCCCCAGCGACGCGCCGGCACCCCCCGAGGTGAAGGCCGAGTGAGCCTGCAACTACTGTTCCAAATGAACTCGTACTCGTCAGTTCATAGGCGCAATGTGCGTCAGAAATCTTCGATTGGCAACAAGTGAATGAATTGTAAAAATACAGTGCACATGGCGAGAAGCAAGTTTAGCCGGTCACGAGCGTGTCAACCATGTATGCAATTTGATGAACTTTATTGACACGCTTTACTGCAGTTTTAGTTTATGCTAATGTAATTTGACTGTAAATTGTTGGCTGGCAATTGTCGGTGATGTGTTCTCGTGAACTGGGGCCACCTCATTCTGTGCGCACGCGCAGGTACGCGCCCGCGTGGCTTCGTTCCCCCGTCGACGGTTTTCTCGGTATATTAGGTGATAAATTATAAAAGTGATTTCGATTCCCGGCTGATTCCGGTGGCCACGACGAAGGTGCTCCCTTTGTATGTAAATATCGGATGGACACCCAGCTGTCTAATTTGACTGTTATTTTAAGTATATGTTAATGCAAGGGTCGACAGCCGCCTGCGAACGGCCGCGCTGCCTCGAGACCTCTCACTAGTGAATATGTAGCCACGGTTTTGCAAGACGAATGACTATGCAATATAATTAATAAAATAGTAAGACAATTTGGAGCGGTAACAGCCGAGTTGCGTTCGGCGTCACCGACCGGTGCGTGGTAGCGCTCCATGTATCATAATCAATGTAATATGCGAATAAAATATTATTGAGCGATACCACAATCTTTTATTTGACACCTGTGTGTCAACACAAACCAATCTATTGGCTTTCTTTCAGCTCTTGATGAATTCCAAATAATAAAAGGCAATCACCAAAGATAATAGAAGACAGTCTAGACTCTAGATAGTATCTATTGGCTCGTTCATGGAAGTATGTAACAGGCAATAGAAACATCAAATCTACTAATATGTAACTTTATACCTAGTAGTTCCGAATATCCAAATACAGAAATTAGATCGACAATACACATTCTTGAGATGTTATATGGTTGGCGTATTAACGTACGTAAGTACATTGTTTCGTATTCGAAAAATCTAACATTTCTAATTTATTAACATTCTCAGTGATTCCCAATTTATTGAACAAAAATAATGTCTCAACTCAGTTGGATATCTGCCAAAAAGGTTTCACTGCAGCGAGGGACGTCCTTGTGGCGCCATAGTATCTATTACAGCAGATGTACTTTGTTTACAGTATGTTAGAAAAAAAAGTTACAAATTCTTCCTTTTCTTACCTTTGGGCAATCTGCGACATGAGTATTATTTTCGTCTTTCTACCGACTTAAAACAGTTCATTTTTTATTTAAAGTAATTATTATCTTTACTAATATATAAAGCTGAAGAGTTCGTTTTATTGTTTGTACGTGCCCTTTTCCGGAACTTCTGAAAACGGTTCTAGGTACCCAAAAATATGTACGATATAATAATTCCTCTTTAGATAATCTAAAAAAAACTGTCCATGTCAGTATCTTATATCAGTCTATCTTTTAAGCGTCGTTGGTAACAGCTAGCTATAATTTATAAAGATTTTGATGACGAAAATTACTATTCCAGGCAGACGAAGTCGCTGGCACGCTAGAATATAAAAAATTAAAATACTATATATCGATGGAAACTAATTTTTAAGCAAACTGAATTTAAATTTTTTTAATTGTCTTTCAACCCTAAATTTAAGCTAATGTTAGAAGGATAACATATCGATCTATAACTTAGCTCCATCCAATGTTAAACCCGTCCTGGGTCAACAGCCAGACGAGATGCAGCCGTCTTCCAGTCTTTGTTCAGAGCTAGCCGACGCGTCGGAACCAGGGACATTCACCTATATGCAATATCCAATAAAGTTAAGCCCTTCTTAGGTATTTGTTTGGTTATACACTCTTAAATAAACAGGAGAAAATTCATCATGATCTTATTCTATTACACGCACCAAGTAATTTCAAAGAGTTTAATTCGTTCATTAAAAAATAATTCCAAGTGTGTTTTTACCATACAGTATTGTGCAAGCAAAATGCATGAGTACACTCGATAACAAAGGGTGTTAGCCGCCTTTTGTGACAGGTTTTGTTCAGTTACAACAGCAGATTAAGAATATCGTGGAATAAGTAGACAAAACTTAATAAATATATATACGGGTTCCAATTTTCAATAAAAAGTTAAAATTAGTCAAAACTATGAATGGTCCAGTATGAAATAGAGATAGTTATGTGTGGACGGCGGTTTATGACACGTTTGATGTCCAAATTTTCCAGATAGGATGGTATCATGATTAGGAGAATTATTTAGAAACTTATTGAAGTCAGTGGAAAACCCACCACGTTTTGTGTTATTTTCCTACCATTGGACTAATGAGTCCACCAAACCCTTACAAAAAAACATAATTTACATTCATAATGATATCATTAATATCTAGCCTGATATCTTAGGCATCTAGATTAAAGATAAAACATTCATAAAATGTTAGACTATACGGATTTGTCACGTTCATCAATTTCCTGTGTAGATTGCAGACCACTGCGTGCGGTCTACTGGTTAGGAGTCAACTATCCATTGACCTTGCTGGATCCTCAGAGTACCTCATTGTTCTTACCTAAAGAAGATATAATAATATAGACGACCATAACAACTTGTATGACAAGTTTTCAACCACACAACTACAGTATATGCACCTTTACTATGGAATGCACTGACATAATTTGAATTTATTGGAACACATACATTATTAGAAATAACACAATATTATGTTATATCTTGCTGTTAGTTCTTTATTCATTATTATATTTTTGTTTATATTACAGTTTGTTTATTTATAGTTCTTTGTTTCCATATTAAATATCCTCGTTTCCTTAACCTCATTTTTTTCAATTTTAATTTTCAAGAATACTTACAGTAAAACGAAACAGATAAAGATCAATTACAAGTTTCCACAGTTAGGTTTAGAATAAGTTTTTTAAAAAATACTGTCTATAGTTTACCGAGTAGTACACTTTACGGTTTAAAACGAAATTAGTTAAACTATTTAATACGTGTTTTAAACGTAAAAGTGTTTTATTTAAAGTATTTTAAACGTAAGAAAATAAAAACAGAACAAAATACCTACGTGCTGAAGAGAGACATTATTTAATTATTACTTTTTATTATAAAGAACATTTCCGCCTTATACCTACGTTGATATCTATAATTTAGTCAGTAATTATTTTTATATAATTTCCGCGATCGTTTAGCAATAGATATACCTACCTATGAAGATTCCAAAAAATGATTTTGTCGTAAGCAACTATTTCACTTGATAAGAAGGACATTTTGGGTCTTGTTTTAGCTCTTGAGTGATTCTTTGTGTCTTCGTTGAAACGAGTGTAAACTGAATGGTGAATCATTCGTATTGTGACTTACGTTCTGTCTATTGTATGTAGTTCAGTTCTGTTGCACGCCGTAGTTTTAGTCAGCGTTCATTATTCAATTTCTAGTTCCCACTTCTCAGTCACCAATTGCCTTCGTTTTGTGCCAGACGTGCTTGCTGCCTTTATCAGGCAAACTTTTACTTTCGAATGAACGTAAACAAACTTTGCAATACGCGTTGCGACAAGTACAATTATAAGGCCTTGGTGATGTTTCATCTTTCGTAGAGGAAAAAGTATAATAAACAGGCAATTGTTGTGGTTTTTCCAACGGCGGCGACGTTCATAAGAATAGCTATCTCCGATTTTGTTGAAATTCTGACTCAGTCGTCGCGGTTTGAGTGCATTTCATTAGATACACATTAAAAAGTGATTGTGGTTCGTATGTTGTGATTGGACTTTTAAACAATGGGAAAGGATTATGGTAAGAAAGTTTTTAAACAAGCGTTTTATTTCTACAGCTATAGATAAGTACTGGCTATTTTCACGCAAGAACTACACATTTAAATAAAATACTTTAACAGATTAAAATGCGAAATGTATTAGTTAACTTATTCACAATTTATTTTAACTACGGCCAGACGTTTCGTATGGAGCAGACGTGGTCACGGGGGGACAAAAGCGCGCAAGCGTTTTAATACCGTTAAAAAAGTTTTATTAGAATACTGTTGTAAATATTTCGTTTGGGTAAATAAATTACAATAAAATTAGTGCGGTAATGAAGGTAGATACGACTGGCAAACGTTTATTATTTTTAATGAGAACTATTAAATAAAAGCAAGAAACCAAAGAAAACACAGATGCTCAGTAAAGTACCCACAGGTAGATACAAAGTTTTTTAAACTTTAATTTAATAGATTTCTCTTAATAAATTAATATGTATAATCTGAGCGAATAAACAAACGTCAATAGAATATATTATATGATAAAAATGAGTCAACTAATTTAATTCGAACTTTAAAACCGTTAAAAGAGTTTTATTTAAATATGTTGTCGATTACGTTACATATTGTGGATTTGACACATACACACGGACAAATTACTCTTGACGTCTCCGTCGTTAGGTAAAAAGAGAAGAGAATTTGTTTTAATGCCACATGTGTTCTTAAACAGATAAGTAGATTTTGTCCTCGGCTAGACAAGCAAACCAATTGAAATTAACATATTTTGTTTACAAGTTTGAAAGATGCATTCAAACTTTTAGTTATGTTATATTTAAAACACTTTTAACGGTTTCAATCTTCGAAACATATTTTTTTTAACTATTCATCGGAGAGACCGTACCTACTCGTTGTTGAAACCCCAAGTAAGGTATGTTATATGTATTCTGTTAGGTACTCTCCGCGGTAACTAACAAAAGTGTATTTTAAATTAAAAACTTTATCGGTTTAAAACGCAAAGCATCGATGTGCAAGAAACGTCGGGCCGTATAATCATAAATAATTTTAACTAATCTATATATCGCGTTTTAAACCGTTAGTGTTTTATTTTCGTGCACTCGCGTAAACTACAGAAAGTATTTAAAAAGTGTTTTATAAAACGTTCCTCACTCGCATAAATTAATGACAGTACTTAATTATGAGAGAAATAATAGATGTCTTTTGTTTTAATTCTTGAGGCGTACGGCCTTCGACTTGATACGGTCAATAGCGAGGATGTTACTTAGATCTGTACAAAAAAAACATAATTAGAAGTTATACGATTTTCCGTATGAAGTTAGTTTTTTTATGATAGATGAGGGCAGACAAGCATGTTGGAGGTGAAATACCACAGCCGTATAACATATAAATCAGATAAGATGTCGACCTATTATGGATATTCAGAAATCCACAGACTGACACCGTAACGCGATTAAACTTTACGACTTTTTCATCTGTGGACGGTGGTTCCTAACGCGAACAGAATCTAAATATCCACTCTACCAATTTAATGCCTAGATCTCCAGACGAAGTCCACTATTTTGGACCCTACATTGCTACCATAACACCAATGAAATAATAATGCGATTCAAATGTTTTAGTCTAAAATATAACCCTACAATTCTTCGAGTCGGTTAATTTTGCAGCAAAGAACGCGTAATTCGTGTTATCTTAGTGAAAATTATTTATTTGCGATCCATAAACAGATGTTCATTTATAACCATAAAGTAATAGGTACTTAGTTAAAGATAAGATTGTGTATACAGTAATCTTAGGTACATACCCTTTCAGTTGTGTCATATTTATATTTAATTGCCCTAGTATATTAAGATTACGTAGTATGTAACAAAAGAACAAATTGCAAAATGTATTTAAAATTAGACTATTTATTAATGGTTTTAAATCAAATCTAATTGACCCAATAACGAAAAGCGAAATATCACGTAAAAATTTAAATAAAACACTTAACGGCTTGAAACGTGAATAAGACGACAGGGAAGCATTCGAAACGTCATTTTGTTTTTGAAATAAGTTAATTGAGATATTTTGCTTTTGAAACTGTTCAAGGAGATTTATTCAAATGTAGTTAACACGAGTAGTTCGGTGTGTTCTACTCGTGTAAATGACGGACAGCATTTAATCCTTATTTACTGACTTAATTATAACAATTCCTAAGATTGCGCCGTGGCGCCAGAAGAGTTAAGACCAATTTAAACATTAAAAAATGCCTTTGTTCATATACTTACGTTGTATTTAATTAATTTTAAATTACCGCCTCCAAGTCTCAATAGTTATTTGCTTTGCCAAACGAGAGAGTCCTGGGTTTGAATCCCGAGGAAACATAACAGTTTCAGTCGCTCAATTAAGTCTAAATAATCCCTTCTCCGTAAATAAAAGCGACCAGTAATTTATGCAGTGTTGCGCTTTGCGAGCATATAAAAATATTCCACCATCCTATTATAAGTATAAATTTTATTTTCCATATTTGCATTCTATAAAATAAAATGTTTTTTGTTAAGCAAATAATGTTACTTTATTGAAGAGTTTTAAATATGACACGCGTCTTGAATCTCTTTAATGTTCTAAAATAGTTTTTCAATTCATGAACAGAATATAGTCGCATACGCAAACGAAAATAACATCGTCGTCAGGGTAACGTCACCGATTTTTATGGTGTTCTGCCTACCGCAGTAATAATTTGCCTTAGCCCTGTTTCACAATGATCTCTTTTTTCATTAATAGTATTTGAGCGATAGATGCATGTATCAATAAGTTGAAAAAAATCGACGATACTACTGTGGGACTGGGTACGACTCGTTTAGAGCAATCGGCACGGAACCTGAAATGCCGGTTCCAAGTCCTAAAGCCTTTATAACTTATGTTTATGAACTAGATGTCTTTATTATCCCTATAGAGCCTCGTTCGGTGTAACAGACACGGTTATATGTCCGTAAAATAAAGGGTATTTCAATACTTGCCAACGCTTAATAGTATTACGTACTTATTGATATCGTCCAATCATTTAGTAGAAATAGTTAACAAGATTATGTTTATAAGTGCCTTTGTAGTCTTCTTCGTATACGGCACATGTACTAAAGGTATTATAGACCACTTCCTGTTAACAATTACGGCCACTTTATTCCAAGTCAGACGCAAGGAGTTGTAAGCTGATACAACCTATGTTCGTCTGATTGACACAGTTTTAGGTGAAAGAGGTTTTAAGAGATTAAAATCAACCGGAAATGACTCAAAGTATCAACTTTCAAGGATACTTTGATACCAACCTCCAAACTCTTGGCCGGAAATCAAATTATTCAGAAAATTTAAAATATGGAAATAACATTTCGCCTGACCCAACACCGTGTCGTCTTTGTGTTTACTAACCACCAATTAAACAAGTTAACTCAGGTAGTACATATATAAATAACACACTTTTAACGGTTTGATACGCGAAATGTATTAATTACTTTATATTCTTTTATAAAACAAAGCCTAAGACATAAACATTATGTTAAGATTGAAATTACAACGCGCGAGAGATACAATTGTCAATAGGCGGAAAAAATTCGTCAATGCAACGGAAATGTTCTGATAAATTTCTTTCCAAATAAAGTGGTATGCGACTGGAATCAACTCCACGACGAAATTGTCACGGCTCCTTCACTAAATACATTCAAAAACCTTTTAGACCCATTCTCCAAGAAATTATAAATTTCGCGCATCAGCTTAGGCTGCTAGTGTAGGTAATAAATAAATAAAAAATGACGTGTACGCCACGTTATCTTAATTGGTTAGAACAACAGCATAAAACACTATAGATGCCGGTTGAAGTCCTGCCCGTGACGTAATTTAAAAAAAAATCTAAAATCGATTTTTATTCAAACAAAACCTAATTTTTGTTCCCGCTAATGTAATGTATTGATGAAACGCAAAAGTTCCATGCAGTAGTTATGGAGATTATAAGTAGTGAAAGCCGTAAAACTGACAGTAGCGTACCTTGAAAATAATATTATTGTACCATTCTTTTACTTACACTGGCTGTGTAAGTGTCTGTTTTTATATATACACGTTACACGCATCTTAGTAGTGCACTGTAGATATAGATGTACGCTTCATTATCACTACATCGAGTATTTCTTCTCTGTAATAATTAGAACAGCTTTGACAACAAGGCTGAAGTTTGCTTGAGGAAAAAAAACTGTTTTATTTCAGTAATCCTCTTTCCTGCTGCATTTTGGAAATCCGCAGCCGGAAATCATGTAGACAGGAATATCCTACATACCTACTCGTACTTGTAGTGTTTTAACTACTAACTTGGGCCGATGTAGAAGACAAATTTTGTAAGATTTATGCTAAAATGAAAAATGTGGCGAATAGGAACATTAAATAAAACACTTAAAAACGGTTTAAAACGCGATGATATTAGTTAAACTTATTGAACATTATTTTAACTACGGCCCGACGTTTCGGATGCTTTGCAACCGCTATGGACTAAAGATTGAGTGTCTCTGATGTCAAAGTAAAAAACCGCTACGCTAGCGCCATCTGTTCCGTAGAAGTTGGTATTTGGCAAACCCGGACAGTTTCGTTTTTAAATGTCTACTACTCGCTTAAACTACAGACAGTATTTAATAGACACGTTATTTTAATTTTAGTTTAGTGTAAACAAAATCGCTAGTACTATTTCGAACATATACCATTTATATAAATTATTAGTAAATATATAAATTACGCCAGTGTGAATCTTACTTTATTCACATAGATTTAATACAAAATCAAGGTAATGTATAAAGATGCAAGTATGCCAGTATAGCGTGTGACGCTCTCGTGCCAACAAACTATTGTGCTGTTTCGTAATATCCCGTGTTTATTTTAGTGAAAACCAAATAATCATTAAATCTTGTTGTAAACAGTGATGTGGCGGTACTAAAATAAAGGCGGTAACTGTTGATACTTCTAACAATATGCATCCAGGACGTTAGTTTAAATTATAACCAATAATAAATAATAGAGTATCCCAGATTTATAAATTAAAATTACATGTTTCTTAACACAGATAAAAAATAAAATTATATATAATAATATATGAAAATCAATAATTAAATAAAATTTATTATGACATATACGGAAATATAAAGTAACAGAAACAAATACTGTCTATAGTTTACGCGAATAGTACACATAAAAAAAAAACACTTTAACGGTTAAAAACACGATATATTAAATAAGTTTAACTAATATATCGCGTTTGAAACCGTTAAAGTGTTTAACAGAAACAACTAATCGAAGATGCTACAGACGTTGTTTGATGCAAAAATTTATAATAATTATGAGTTCTTTAGTAAAGTATTGTGGTTTTTTTTAAGTATTCTACCTATGTATAATGTACAGTTTATGTCGACTTGACGTCCGCGTTATATCGACGTGCTCATTGGTCTAGTGGTGCCGATGTGTAGGTAATAATAATCAATGGATTAGAGGTTCGATTCCCACCTAGTTCCAATATGTTTCAAATCGTTGTTTAATTTCTCTGAAATAAACCCTGTTTGGAAAATCCATACAAAAACCCATAAGGTCTTCACCTAGCAACAACCAAGTTCATATTTCTTGGTTGTTGCTAGTTACAGCCTACATACTAGTCGATCGGTAATACAAAAAGCGTTAGTGTGAATAGTTATGTCATTCTAAGTACTTGCTTTAACTCCTCACAATTGCTTACGTATTAAACTACGCTATCTTGTGCGTTGTAAAACAGGTTATACGTTTTTGTGTTTTGTTTTTGTATTAGGCTGCGGCGGGGTTAATTTTTAAACCATAAAAAATATAATTGAAAAGAAACAATAGTTCTTAGTAAAAAAGCTGGTAAAGGGACGCGAAATACAGCAGTCAATTCAAACCATAAATAAAAGTCCAATTCACGTTGGCCACGATTTACGCCTTCTCAACAAAATTTTAAATTGTTCAATGCAAACGATGTTATCGCTAGAACTTGATAAGGGTTCAGTCATTGATAACGAGCATAATATTTAGTACGTCCTCCCAGATAGTTCTTGCTAAAAGAATCATAATATCAGCATAAAATGTGGTGAATCCGAGTTCGTTTATAACAATGGTTTGCTGTGGTGATTCTTACGTGTCACCGAAAGAAACAAGTAAGTGTGACGACTAAGTGTGAAATTGGTTGTATTCGTTAGTTGCGAAATAAGCAGTTAAAGAACACGGTTAACCGCCTATTTAGAATATACTTACTTCTTGTAAAATCATTACCAAAAAGCAAAAAAACTACAAGAGCTACATGGCAACGACCCGGCGTTGTCTCTTATTTTAAATAATAATTAGTAGTTACTAAGTTTGACATACACAATGCATCATAATCATTGTTTTTCGGGCTGTTCGGACGGAGCAACATCTCCTGATGATGTCGTCCGCTCGTGATGGCGAAACGTCGAGAACCTCTTCTTGCTTACAACGGCCAAACATCCCGAAAAACAATGATATACTGAACGATGGCTGAGAAAGCCTTACACAATTTATATACACAATATACATTTGTATGACTTTAAAGTCAATGTACTTATTTAACATATACGCGTAGAAGTTATCATTTTCTAGCTATATTGTTTAGGCAGAGTATAGTAAAAATATAGTTTAACACAGCGCTAAGAAATGAGTACAGCTCGTCTGTAAATTCTTACACTAGCTATGCCCACGGCTCCGTCCGCGTGGAACCACGTCGGTCCACGACGTTCTTGCAAGTTAATATTAAAAGACATGACTTTTTTTTATTCTCTGAAATGTTTTCACCTACAACTGAAGCCCTCAGAGATTAATAAATTTTCCTCTATTTCTTTGCTCTTATTAGTCGCAACATAATGTTATATATATCTTAAAACCTTTCTCGATAAACTATCTGTCCAACACAAAATTCTTTGTGGAATCAGGTACTAATGGTTCGAATTAAAAAAATCGAACCATTAATGCCTGAGATTGGCACGTTCAAACAAACTAACTTCATGTTTATAATTTTAGTATAGATCATAATTAACGCCCAAAGCCTTAGCTAATGTTTCGCACTAAGAAACCACTTCAACGAATGACCTTCTATGTGACCACGTCCTCGCCTTTTGGGTTTCGAATTGTATAAACAAAACACGACTGTAAAGTTCCCCATACGCCGTATTAGCAGAGTTTTTATTTAATACAAATTTTTATTTTGTGTAAACAGAGTAATGTTTGTATAACATTTGTTTTGCTCTCTTTAACTAGACAAATATTCATTTCACAACGACTCAAATATTTCAGAATATTGTATATCTACCGTCACACAATTAAAATAACTAGTGCTGGGATAAATCATAAAAATTCATAGTATTTATAATACATTATAAATACTATGGATGTTTATGATTTGCACGTTTTCTGTAAATTATATTAACTTGTATATTATTTTTAAGTACTAAAATTATCTTTTTATTTCCTATTTCTACATGGAAAGGTTGCCAGGAAGAAATCGCCATAGGCGATAAGTCCGCCTTTGCACAATCATGTTTTATTTTGTATATATAATTATGTGTATCCATGTTCTTATGTCTATGTTTGTGCAATAAAGAGTTTATTTTTTTTTAATAAGGTATGTGTTATATATTGATGCTATGTTACAGCAAAGAATATTAACACGAATACTGTTTTACCAAACTTATTTTTCTTTCAGGGGAGCCGATACGATACGACCCTAATTTCAACGGACCGATTCACAATCGTTCCTGTACGGATATTCTTTGGTTGATCGTATTCATTATCTTCCTTGGAGGATGGGGCTACGTTGGATATTATGGTATGTCTAGAAACATCAATTCTTTATCGGCCTAAGACCTCCTACGTAGTTATGTGCCAAGTCTGCGTATACGCAGTTGACACATGATTGAATGACTACATACCATGTAAACTAGACTACAAATAGAGTTTTATTATATCCCACATCCTATATGATCGTCTATAATTGTAGTAGGCCATTTAGTAGATGCACGGTACGCTATTCAAGGGTTCGAGTCCCGCAGTTATCATGATTTTTTATTATCGAATAAAATTTTTAAACTAGAAATTATTATAATAATGTCTAAAAATAAGGAATAATTATCAAGTCATGCCGTGCAGTTTAAATAAAACAATTTTAATAAAATGTATTAGTGAAACTAATTTAAAGTTTTAAACTATTATCTACGGCACGGCGTTTTGAATGCTTTACAGCAGCCGTGGTCACGAGGAGAAGTACCATACCGTCGAGTTTTTGGTTTTAGGATTTATCTAGTTTTCTAACATTTTTAAATATATAATAATAAATACTTTATATGTGTCGTAAATACAACTAAAATAGTACTCAGCTAAAAATCTATAATAAGATGAGTGTTTTTTAGGTTTTACAAAAGGCAGTATTGAGAAGATATTAGCGCCAATCGATTCAAAGGGTCGACGATGTGGTCTCGACTCAGGTCTCGAAGATAAGAAGTATTTAATGTTCTTTAATATTGCAAAATGTCTTTCACCTGGTACACCCATCACGGGCTGTCCCACCACGCAGGATATGTAGCACATACGTAAATACTTGTGTAAGATATTTCTGTTTTTACTTAATATTTCGTTGGGGTCACTGTTAATAGTTACGATAACTTTCTTTACAGTACCCCAGACCTCCAAGACATGTCAACGCGTTTCCGCAACTGACCTATAACGCCTGTATAGGTCAGTTGAGTAAACATATGAGCATTAATATCCATAATATTTATTATCTTAATCGTAAAAATTATTGCATTGCGTTAAGTGTGAGAGTTCCTAAGGTTAAAAGTAAGACTGTGTCTTCTGCCTTCCACCAAGGGAACTATGATGTTTAATACCCAATAAAAATTGCTGTCTTCCAGGTTTGCGTGGATCAATGCCCCGACAGCACAATAGTTTTCGAGAAGGAATTACAAATAAATCCGGCCGCTTTTGAATCGCTCAGATCAAAAATGGTTTGCACGGAGGAAGTGAACGTTAACACAATGACGAGCTCACAAGCAGTGCAATACATGCGGGAGGACAAATGCGCGCGCTTCCTCCTAGCCAGTCAGCCAGGTAAAACCTTTTTCTTTGAACCTCATTCGTGTGTTTGTGTTTTGTTTTTTTGTGGCGCTTAAATGCAAATGATAATGGCCAGTGTTGTTTCGCTGCATCGGTGATCTTTCGACACTTCAATGCAAGGGCTCGAAACAGAGTCAGGGACTTGATAACAATGATGTGACGTGTGTGCGGAACCCGGTGGAAGCCCAGAAATCACTGCTGAATAGCGCTACAGCTCTTGACACCTACATTGGCTGGATTGCTGCTAGCTGGGTGACGTTCTTCACGAGTGAAAACGAACGGGAAGCACATATTGTAAGCCCATGGAGTTATGCACCAGACTAACGAGGGAATGATGTGATGGAATTTTAACAGTGCTTAAACTTTGTCTAATATAGGATCATAGGTTTTTTCATCGATTTGCGGTTATGCATTTTCGATGAAGTGTAAACCAATACAGTACAGAGATGAAAAAGTGTTAACAAAATAAATAAATAGAACCTATATATTAAAGATGTAACTTAAGAAGGTTGTATATACATAATATATGTACCTAAATCCTACGACTGCTTTGTATATAATAATAATCATCGATTCTACCCTATCCCTATTGTAACTTGATAAACTTGTCTTTCTATATTAGACAAAGTATAATCGTTTTGCATGTTTGACTAACTCTGCACGTTTAATGTTGGTGCATAAAAAAAAATCATAATTTCTTGTAAGTAATTTCTTTCGTGTCGGTGGTCCATGTCCATGCTGTCAATTAAAATATTGATTTTGACATCAGAAATACTATCAATATTCAAAGCAGCAAATTTAAGAAGAATAAAATTTTACGCTACGCTCCTAGACGATCACCTTCCAATGAATCGAGGGTCTCCGCTGCTCCTAATTAAGTTCATATAAGGGATTATAAGAGATGTCTTTCGAATAGTAATACTTTTGACGGGACTACAATTTCGTACGTTCTAAACCAAAAAAATAAATAAGAATTAGACCTTGCTTTAAATAACTCTACGGTGCGTATCACTTCAAAAACGCGTTTTATAATATTTATCTGTAAATAGAAAATTCCTGAAGGTAATTTATAACATTATTCTTAACTAACGATTAGCAAAGAGTGTATAATGAACGAAAGTAAATAAATTATCAGTTTGTGAGCTGTACCTGTACAATACAAAGCATTTTGTATTCGATTTTTTAAATACACCAAGTCATGTGCCTCAGGCAATATTTACTAATGCACCGTTGGTGTTTGGGCAGTGTTGGGTCGCTGCTTTGTAAATGTGACAACCGCCGCCCTGGATGTGATACGGGAAGTCACCAATGGTACTCTCAACCTAGGGGAAGACGAGATTGTCGATCAGCTGGCCAATCTTATAAAGTTCGACCAGGTAGACAATTCAATTATTTCTCAATTTATATACTTTGGTCTGGTTGGACTGAAATTAAGATGCGATCTTAAACATTGTCTTATATGCACTGACGCTTGCGCAGTTCTTTTCTCAAGCTTCGGTCTTCTATAAACGCTTTTGGTACAGCGTAGATAATTTTTTAGAGTGGTCGGTATATTGTTAAATTGCATCCAATTTCACAATTTTACATACTGTTTACGGCGTTTGTAGAACACCACAATCTTACCCAGGCACAGCGCTTTCAAATTTGAACATAATCCCCTGCACCTTGTACATTATAATATATTATTGTAAATATGAACCACAATATATCTTTGACCATACCTTAACCTTTCATTAACAATAAATGTACCTAATTATTAATAATTACTTTGTTTACGAAGCCATGTCAAAAAAATCCCAAACTTATCTTTTAATGCAGCTGTCATCGCAAATAGTCCAAGATTTGGTACAGTCTAGATGGTACTTGGCTGGCGCTCTGGTGGCTGTCTTCGTTCTCTGCTTCATATACATTTTGCTCCTTCGATGGGTCGTCGCACCAGTGGTTTGGGTCTCAATAGCTGCTTTTTTAGCATTACTTTGTTTCGGTAAGTCAACCTAAGATAGAGAATACATACAGAAGACAGTGTAATATAGGGCAACCGATTTTTACGAACTTTTGCATAAAAAAACACACCTTACTCATATTAATAATATTCCCTTTATTTTTATATAAGTATATATTTAGGATATACATAGGTACACGTGCGATAGGCTTAAACTTCCTTTGACTCTTTAATGGTAATCGTCGAAAAGATTTGATTGATTTTGATAAAAATTAAAGATTTGAAATGTACTAGCGATATTACAAATTTCTTGAAATGAAAAATTACAATTGGAATAAGTGGAAATTGAATCCAGGATCACTGTGTTCTATGCTGTGACACACTTTGTCCATATTAACTAAACTTACACTTAAGTCAAAAATATATCATGTGAAATTTGTAATAATTCTAGTGTGATAACCTTCCCCTGTTCAACCTCTTTTTACAGCTATGTACCTCTGTTACAAGAACTTCGAATATTACAAAGCAAATCCAGTTGGGCTCTACCAGACGACCAATTTGAAAGGATACGCTCAATCAGTATTCGCGAAGCACCAGACGTGGCTCGTTATACTCATCGCGTTGGCTGTGATATTTTTAATACTACTGCTGGTGGTCATTTTTCTAAGAAATAGGATTTCAATTGCTATTGCACTCATCCGAGAAGGAAGCAAGTAAGTAGTCTCTTATGTAGGAACAAACAAAGACTGCCTTTATGAACTTCGGCGCCATTTTTTGTGAGGAAATTTCACGGCTTTTTTTATTATATGTGAACGGTGGTTGGTGACAGGGACGGAGTTTCGATATTCTTACCACAGATTAAATATCCAGTTTCTGGACGAAGTCCAACATGTTTCAGAAAAATTATAAATTGATTAGAAACATGTTGGGCCTGGCGGGGATCGGACCCACGTCCCGTTGATTATTAGTCATAAATTGCTATTTGCTACCATTACACCTACGCGCACGTTTCGAACATTAATAATTGTAATAATAAACCAAAATAGTCTTTCATAAAAATACCTGTCACAGACGGGACCTAGTAATATCAACGCACAAGTGACGATAATCGGCGTTTATAATCGAAGTTTTACTGCATTACGACGTTGAAAAGGAACATGTTCAAAGAATGTCTTTAATCTCATTTTAGGGCAGTGACTGCGGTCAAATCGACAATATTGTTCCCAATTTTCCCTTGGATACTTCAATGTGCTGTTATCGCTTATGGAGTCTTGGTTCTTATGTTGCTCCTCTCTATTGGAGAATCTGCATTTCAAGTGGTCAACCTACGTAATGATACCACTTGCAGCTGTGGCGGAGTCTATACAGAGGTAAGAAATGTTTTCTTCTTATGTTCTATGACCATAAAGGCCATCTAAGCTTTTTAAATTCGGTATCAACCGATATCAATGTATATAATTCGACAAACAAAGACTTAATAAACATATGTATAATAGAAACGAACGTAAATTTAACAATTGCTATTAAAAGAATATAGAGACCCATTTATCCTGTCATTTATCGTGTTATTTTTAGCGAAATACAAATCTTAATAGATTTATGATGACGGAATATTCATTTTTATTCTAGGAAGGACAAGCGTGTAACCCAGCAAATTTTATAAAAGTCTGTCATGACACTCAGTCTGTTGGAGGATTACTACCGTGTTCTTTAGCATCATGCCATTTTACAGGCATCGATAATCCGAATAGTGTTATTGCATTGCATCGTGAGTAAATAAAATGTACTAATCTTTCCCACAATCTTCTAATTCACATAGGAGAAAGACACAAAACGGTCGAACGACGGCTGCGTTTTAAAGTTACACCAATTAATCGCCTCTTTCATATCTTCCCCAATTTTCACTGTGATTGTGTGTGAATTTTCATTGTCCTATACTTTTTGTTTTTGTCACGCAATTATGGAGATAAAAGTTTTGAATTTGAATTGGAACTATGGAACATAACCGGCATCGTCAGTGTTCCGTGCTGTTGATCTATCTCAATTGAGCTACCGAGTCAGTAGACTAGTAGAGACTCGGTAGCTCAATTGTTAGAGCCGAAAATTTTTTCAATTTATTTTCGATCTTTAAACTAAATACGTATATCATTTTGTTGACCCCCTTTTTATATATTTCTTTATAAAAAAACTCTATTAATTATTTTCAGTGGTGAATTTACTTGGCTTCTTTTGGACAATGTTCTTTATAAGTGGTATCGCGGACATGATGCTTGCGAGTACATTTTCCACGTGGTATTGGACGTTCCACAAGAGGGATCTGCCTTTCTTCACTTTAACTTCAGGAATATATAGAGTTCTTCGGTAAGATATGGCAAGGAAATATAATTACTAAATGTGCTTATGATTGTTGTGTAGTCGGTAGCAATATTGGGAAAATGTTTTGCTACATTCAATGGATTGGTAAAACGTGGGAAAATTGTAACGTTTGTTGTGACTAGTGTTGCCTACAAATTACGTTTTATAGAGTGGATATAGGCATATACACATATAAAAGAATGGTTTTCAGATGACACAAGTATGAATAATTGGTGTTAACAGAAATATTGTAAATCAGGAGACCTATATTTGGTGGTACTAAATACATTTCCTTGCTAAATTGGTACACAACAAGGAATTGAACTCTTAACCTAAACCTAATGTTATAATAGAATTATCCTTGAGACCTAGACTAACTGATAAAATAATGATCAAGTCTGAATCACACCACTGAACCAACATTGATGAGAATAAACGTTACAGATGTCGAGTTGTATTAAATACTGTCTGTAGTGTATCACTCGCGTATACAACATGCTAAAAATAAAACGCGGAATATCGGGCCTGCGTTAAAATAAGTAATATATAAGATTACCTAATAAACTTCGCGTTTTAAACCGTTAAAGTGTTCAATTTTTCGGTTGCAAACGCGAAATATCGGGCCGCAGTTAAAATTTATAAATACGTTTTTACTAGTATGCTTCGGGTTTTGAACAGTCAAAGTGTTTTATTTAAATACATTTTAATTTCAGCTATCACTTAGGAACAGTGGCATTTGGAGCACTAATAATAGCGATAGTACGCGTAATACGAGTCATATTAGAGTACTTGGATCGCAAATTGAAAAAGTTCGACAACCCATTCACGAGGTGCGTAATGTGCTGCTGCAAATGCTTCTTCTGGTGTTTGGAGAGCTTCCTGAAGTTCATCAACAAGAACGCGTATATTATGTGCGCGGTTCACGGGAAAAACTTTTGCAAGAGCGCGCATGACGCCTTTTCTTTGCTCATGAGAAATATCGTTCGAGTTGTTGTTTTGGATAAGGTAGGCATTCAATTACAACCCCACAGAAACGTACATCAATATAAACTATTCTAGAATTCGCTTTGTGGATATCTCATATATTAGTCGCAACATAGTATTACTATTTTATTGCGAATTTTGACGAGCTCGATTAGATACTGTCTATAGTTTATGCAAGTAGTACACATTTAAATAAAACACTTTAACGGTTTAAAACGCATATCGCGTTTTAAACCGTTGGTTAAATTAGTTAAACTTGTTGAAAATGATTTTTAACTTCGGCCCGACGTTTCGTTTTCTCCGCGTGACCACGACTGCTGCAAAACATCCGAAATGAGTTTAACTAATATATCGCGTTTTAAACCGTTAAAGTGTTTTATTTAAACATTTTAAATAGAAAAACATTACTAGATATTCGTTTTTATGCATAACTAGCTAAACTATTTCATCTTAAGCCATTATTATTATTACAGGTTGCGGACTTCATATTTTTCCTGTCGAAACTGTTGATCTCGATCGGCGTCGGAATTGGTGTATACTACCTACTTGAGTGGAACTATGTGTATGAAATAACAAAAGGGGAGCGTCTGCATTACAACTACGTACCGGCGATTATACTCAGCGTCGCTACCTATCTTATTTGCACCATATTCTTCAATGTCTACTCTATGGCTGTAGACACGTTGTTCCTTTGTTTCCGTAAGTTTTAAAATCCTACTGTGTGGATGCATGTTTGTTACTCTTTCACGCAAAAACTACTGAATGGATTTCAATTAAACTTTCCAATAATATAGCTTATACATCAGAATAACACATAGGCTACAATTTATAGATAGTGTGAGTGTAAGTGTCAATTAAGTAGGAAAAAGTCTACCTTTCTCGAGCTAATATAAGTTACCAAATACAAATTCTGCGTAGACGAAGTCGCGGTCACCAGCTAGTATAAAATAATAACATCTTATAGTGCTGACGGACTCTTTATTTCAATCGGAGAAACGTATGGACAATCGTGGGTTAGGTTCCTGGGGGGACTGTAATCTTTTTAAATATGTAATAGGATATTAAAATGGAAATTGAAGATGGATAGGATAAATGTTAATGGTTTCAGTTATGAATTTCAGAATATTAAAAAAAAAAATAGACCGACATAGCGCATACGGGTCGTCTGTAGAAATTAAATATAACTAATACATGACATAACAAGGAATAAATGAATAAAATTCAATTTAATTATACGTTTTTGAAATCAAGTCTCTGTCTAATCAATAGTTCACATAGTAATAGCCAAATGAATATAGGTACAAACTTTTTTTTGATATCACGCAAATATCAAAGCAACGTATATATTTTATTACATAAAATCAATCAATTGATCAAATTTCTTTCTTTTTCAGTGGAAGACTGCGAAAGGAATGATGGTTCGCCTGAAAAACCCTACTTCATGTCTAAAAATCTACTCAAAATCCTTGGGAAGCGAAACAAGAAATTAAAATAAAAGTATAGTGAATAATATTGTGAAATAAGAATATTATTCACTATACAACATAAAATAAAAATAAACAAGGCAATAGTTTATTTTTATTTTACCCCGAGGTTAAAACCTAGGACCATCGTTATATTTACAGCTTAGGAAGGAAAGCAATGACTGTATTTCCTAACAATTTGAATTTTTATCTCATGTTAGGAAACATTAAGGACTTTGTTTTTAACATTATTTTGTCAACATGGTTTAGTATGCAAGAGGAAACTAATTTTTGGATATTAATTTAATATCGATAGATTATAGACTATAGAACGTAATTCTATTCTCTAATAGTGCCAACAAAAAAGCAGCAGTGTTGTGAAATAATTGTGTAAACATTTTAATCGATAATTATTGTTGAGATAATCAATATTATATTACAAATATTTGTACTTTAATATATCTTGTTGTATATACTGTCGTTTGTAAGGTTTTATGAGAGTAGTGGTGATGTAAAAAAAAACACCGAGTTGTATTGTGTTTAATGCATACACCAACCTTAATGATGTAAGATTGAACAATTTTTTTTAAAGAAATATTAATATATTAAATTAATATTTCAAAGTTTTTTTACTCATCCATAATGGTATTTAATCTATGCTGTGTCAAGAAAGCCACATCAAGCATAGCTTCTGGGTCCAATAGTTCTTTAACTTCTTCATATTTAAAACTTTCCTCATATGCAAATATAAGGGTTGTGACATCGAGCATCATTTTTGAAGCAACAAGAGCTGCAATACAATTCTTCAAGCGGGCTATAGCTTCTCTGTTGGACCTGGTGACTGTCTAAAAAAAAGTTTAAAAAATGCTTTGAAATTACATTGCACAAAAGGTGAATATAGGTTGAAGAAATTCAACATTGACATGTAGAACTCGTTGGCTCAATTTGTTAGAGCAACAGCACGGAACTTTATGTCCCGTAATAGCTTTTTTCAATATACTATAGATTTTTAAAAACAAAGGTTTTAAAGTTTCTTTCCTTTGTTATATAGGTACAGAGTTCAAAGCTCCAAATATACCGAATCCCTAAACTCAATTCCAATGTATACTACACTTGTTTTACAATTTACTTACAGGGAGAGTCAAGGTTTTTATTAAAACATGCAATGCAATAATTCACTGTATTTTAATAATTCCAAACATACCTGTAAACCTTTGTAACAGTCGTAATTATCCTCATTTTCACTGGCTGATACCAAATTATCATCCTTTTCCCTACTGACTAAGTTCTGCGCTTGCGGACCCATCCAAATAAAACCATTATTTCCAAGTATTACTGAAATGCCACAAGGTAAAATGTGGAAATGGTTTTTTCTTCTAGCTATCAATGATGGGAACACTTTCACCATGACTCCTTGCCATAGCTAAAATTATTTTAGAATTTAGACTTTACCTCACTAACTAAAAAAATATATACCTTAATCATCATTTAAATAATAAATTAAATAAGAAACTCAAATAATAAATATCTTTATCTACCTTGCCATATTTTAAACTTCGAGTGTGCAAAGCTAAAGATCCATCAGAATAAATACTCTGTACTTCTGCACTTATTAGATCACCTTCCTCCAAAATCTGTCTCATTGCCATTTCATCTTCAGCTGATCTTCTTCGCTGTAATATTTGTATTTATATAGAAAATTAAAATTAATTATAATGCTTTAATTTGTATTGTCTTTGATGATGATAAAAAAATCTTACCAGTTCACCGCCAGGCAAATTAACAGCTGACAACATAAGTATGGAGTCCAGTCTAGAGTTTGTCTCAATTCTCCATCTTTTCTGTTGTACTTCTAATACTCTACCCACTACCACATCACCAATTTCACCAACATATCTACTCTTCAAGGGATGTACACATATCAATTTATTAACCCTTTGCATGACACCAGCCACTGATGATTTGATTTTATCATCTTCTACATATGTTCCATGTCCTCTGTAAAATTAAATTAATAATATAGATATTATATCATTGTCTTTCGGGCTGTTCGGCCGACGTGATTGAGAAGAGGTTCTCGACGTTTCGCCATCACAAGCGAACGGCATCATCAGGAGATGTTAACTATTGCTCGAAGAAATAATCATAATTCGTAACAAAAATCAAAGAAAATAACTAAAATATGCATATGTACTTTAACCACACGGTTGTGTGAGTACTTGTTACAAAGTAAGAATAAAATAGTTGAATAACACTCTTTTCTTTTTGTTATATTAATGAAGAAGTGTAAATTCACGATTAGTATGTGAAATCATCATTTTTAATAGAACCTTACCGCATAAAATCATGAAGATCACAAACGACTTCACCGGGTGTGAAAAATCTGGGTATTTCATTATTTGCGGCAACACTATGATTTACCCTTTCCGATGCTAGAGTTATAGAAACATGCCCGGACATTTTAATTTAATAACATGAATTATGAATATACTAATTCTTCTAGGTCAGGTACGTATTCAATATTACTTCATAAATAGAGCGGCATGAGGATGAAGTTTATTTCTGTTTGACAGTTGACTTCTATTGACATTTATCTTCTAGTCTATTGTAGCTATAATGCAGTTATTATTTTACACTCTACACATATGTGTTTCTGTATATACAGACACTACAGTCTCATTTATACTATGGTTTTCATTGAATCTATGTGTTCCACAGACTCATACACCAAATTTTACTATATTTTCATGTCAGATATCCATTTAGTTTGCGTTTGTATTTGTTTTTATTTTTCATTCTACTATTTAGATAATTAAATTTTAAACACAGAAAACAGCGAGTTAAACAATCCACCATGTCTGCAATAAACGTGGCACCAATTACAGCTACGGACAGTTTATCACAAGCTTTAAAGGCTAATATTATCCCAAATCAAGAATATTTATTACAGGTTAGATATTAGTAATTTTTTATATCTTTGTAGACTGATATATAAAACTGTTTCTAGTCTTCATATTGGATTTTCAGGGATCGGTCCTAGATTCTGCTGTAGAAGTTCTACTGCATCGTCTTAGAGGCCTTTGCGACAATGTAGATGCTGGGCCAGAAACCTTTGACGACCAAGAAGTCTGTTTTAGCTTACGGGATCCAAATCAACAGGTATTTGTCTTCTTGTGTATAATTGTTATCTTAATTTCTTTTACAAGTATTAAATATTACACATAATTATTAATTTTGTGATACTCCAAACAAGAAAAATATTTCCTCTCGATTCTTATTACAATCAACTTTCAGGCAGCCCCACTTATGTTACGAGTAAGGAAAGCATTAGACGCCCGTGATATGCCTTATCAACTTAGGTACATTGGACAACCAGATTTAGGTGATAAAAACAGGCCCACAGTTGTAAGATCTAGCCTTGATATTGCCTGCAGTGGAATGCTTATAGAATTCCTGAATGAACTGGGCTGTAGGATTGAATTTGAATATAGTGTTAAAGGTAAGAATCTATTTGTTATATATACAGAGGCCACTAAAGACAGAGTAGCCCAACTACAATTTTATGAATTGTATTTTTATAGTCTAAAATATTACTAGATTATTTCTAGAGCACAGTTATTGAAAATTTTAATATAATTCTTAAATAATAATAGTAAATATTAATTTTCCGCCTTACTTAAATATCATTTTTATTTTCTACTTATTAAAAATCTTTTTTTTGTTATTAGGCCATTCTGCATCTAGCAGCCTCATATTATGTGAGGATATAGTTGAATTATTACTTGAATAAATATTTTAATTAAATTAAATGTTACTAATGTTTTTATACAAAAATTTATAAAAACAATATTTAGCCATTTAAGGTTTTTGTATATAAGTAGTATTAAATCTAATTTCCTCCATTAAACATTAATATCTATTATACTATTAGCATTTTACTAACAGGTCCCTTTTTTCTAACTATTTTTAATATTTTCAAGGCTATATGTTCAGGAAAGGACGCATGAAGATTACTGTTGCAAAGGTATTTAAGATATCACAAAGCTCTATGCCGCCAGAACCAATATCGCAGAGCTACCTTGTTGAACTATCGGTGTGTAACTTTATTTTCTGATTATTAGAAAAAAAATCTTGTGTCATCACTATTTTACCAATTAATGTATTCTTTGAAATGTGTAGTTTGCTAAAGCAATCCTGAAATTTGATATTATTATCTCAATCTCATATATGTATAATAAAAAGAACATCAACACATTAAATATAATATTTGAAACAAATGTGGCATTCTTTCATATCTCTTTGATTAATCACAAACCATTTGATTTATAAATCTTTTGTAGGTTCTCGCACCCCAAGGTCAAGATGCAATTGGTGAAGATATGCGGGCGTTTGCAGATCAACTACGGCCATTAGTTCAACTTGACAAAATTGATTACAAGAGACTCGGACATATGGCAGTTACATAATAAATAACATTTGATGCAAGCCTAATATCTTTATCATAAATGAAATATTCAAGTCCCTTTGTAAATAATACCTTTGGCTTAGGACACGACATATATTAGTCGAACTACAAGTCGAAGTTTCGAAGCTTTGCAGCAGGGCACGCGGGACTAAATATAGAAGGCGTCCAAATTTCCCTAATGTCAAATTTTTGGCCTTTTCAAAAATATTATTAAGGACGAGTTCTTTTATAGTCTGTTACAGTTTACAAATATCTGAGTTGTTTATTACTGTCCCAATTACTAGAATTAATTTTAAAAATGTATTATATTTCATATTTGGCAAGTACATATATGTAGGTTATTGTTAAAATAACTTATTAAGTTGCTAACTTATTTTACCAATGAACAAATGTTAGCTGGTGTAAAGAAAACATCAGAATGATCAAACAAAATCTGGATTCTTTTTTGAGTTAATAATCGCAATGTGGTCTTCTTCGTAATCATAATCTTCTTTTTTGGTGCCATGCACGTAAGCAAAGTTGCCGAAGAGCAAGCAATTCTCATACTTCATGGGGATAAATTCTGAAAAGAAATGCAATTATTATTACTTCAATAAAAGTGATGGAAAATTATGATGTCTAGTGTCTAAATATTTAAGCATGTCTGTTGATATTTTTGGCCATCGAGTACCCACGCGCAATTTTAGAGGCTATTTTCCAGTCCCAGCTGTAGGAACTTCAGAGATCATCTAAAGAAAAATACTTCTATAACTGGGTTTTTTTTTCTTTTAAATAGTAAAAAAATACCGGCTCCATGTATGCAGTTGTACAGGTCCATTATACAGTGGTTGTCGAAGATGTAGGTGGCGTTAGTGTCGAAGTTGAAGGCACAAATCTTTTGGAAATATGTAGGACAGATGCCGCATCTGTAAAAAGTTGTCGGTTTGGAAACAAGTTGGTTGGAAAAGTTTGACACGTGTGTCGGTAGTAAATAAAATTGTAATGATATAGACATACCTGCTTATCAAAGCTTTATAATTAAAACTAGCTATTTGCTATTATAATCTTGCAAAGAATTAGATTCTCAGTCACTTTATAGGATATTTTTGAAGCCTAGATTACAGAAAACATTATAGCGGCAGGTCTTTCTGAACTTTGTTTAAATGGACGACACAAAGAATTGCCTTTCGGGCTTAAAACATCACCTGTGACCGTCTGGAGCTGGGTTCTGTTTGTATTCTATCCCCACGACATCATCATAACTTATGCTCAAACTTAAACCTGCAATATATTACCGGTATAACAGAGATTAATAAATTAGCATCAGTGGTCATATGGGGAGTAAAATTTGCTTTCAATTAAGTAACTGGTATATCGCGTTTTAAACCGTTAAAGTATTTTATTTAAACGAAAAGTTTGAAATCCAAGACTTACGAATGCTAAACAATAGAAACAGAATACTTGGTTCAATCCATTTCCCATAAAACATGATGTTGACTTTAGCCTTTATGTTTACTATTTAATAAAAAATTAATTTCAACTACGTTTCGGGCACTAAAAAAGTTATATGAAATGTCTACTGGCGTGTAAAAATGGATTCTATTTCAATTTCCTTTAAGCTACGAAGAAGTCGTAAATCGGTAAGCAGTTCGTTCAAGTACCTTCACAACCTTATAGCAGAGTGTATTAGTTCGTAAAAGGAAAACGCAGGCGCATATAAAACGCGTCTAGGGACGTGGTGCGCATTACGATGTACGGATGGTACGTCAATGACTCAGCAGTTCGCTCATATTTATTCATTTAGTACATAAGCTTAGTACGGGGTATACATAAAATAACTAATACGTATATAAAAACAGAAGTTACTATGTCCGTTTTCCTGGTCGACATTATTTATAAGCAAATAGTTAATTATTCTTTCTTGCCGGGCTGAACAACACTTTTTATAATATTTCGATAATATTCGAACTTAGGACTCGCGCTTAACAGGCTATTAAGCAATGGAGGTGGTCACACACATTCAGATAATCCGTAAATGTATATTAAATGTATAGGCTTTTTCTTTTGCTGACAGAGGAACGCAAACACTTATAGAGAGTTGGGCACTCATTTGATGGCCGGAAAAAGACGTAATCTTAATAATATTTAATAGTGATGCTAAGTCATCCAAATTCGGGATTTGGAAATCTACAGATTTGCATATATTTATATAGGCATATATGAGGTGGTTCGTGACCCGGTCAATTTTTAGACATTTCTACCACCAATTTAATATACAATCTTTTTTAAAACTGAGTCAAACAGGTTAAAATAAGAAATTGATGTACAAACATGTATAATGATGGTATTTTACCCGATAAACCCAAAATAACAAAATCTTTCCATAACATAATGTTGCCCTTTTATTATTAATTGCTTAATAAGTGTGCCCCTTATATTTAAGCGGTAAAACATAAATTTCAAAAGTGACACAGTTATTTTGGAGCCGAGTGTTGATCAAAGTTACAAGCGTCAAGGCGAACAGGTAGCGAAAAGCGCCACGAAGTCTGCCTTAGTCAAAACGACGCGGCGCCCACGTTTAACTGCTTTCTACAGAATTCGAAGACACGTAATATGTTTCATTTATAAAAACGCGTGCTTGTTATTAGGGAATGTCTACCTATGCATATTGTAACAGTACTTTTTGCAAGCTACTTCGTTTACATGGAAATGTGACCGTCAGAAACATGATAATTGTTTTTTTTAATAAATTAAGTAAAAATAGGCGTTAGTTGTTTTAAGCCCAGTATTGTCTGTAGTTTACGCGAGTGTTACACATTGAAATAAAACACTATTAACGGTTTTAACTACGATGCGAAAATACAATCAAGAAGGAAAGAAATAATTACTTATGTTACATTACATTGCCAGTAAAAGAGGAAGATATCAGATTCATACAAGACGGAGTCAGGTCGCATCTACCCTGTTTAATTCACTAGGTGGAATAAATACGTTAATGCTATGGAAAAATTATTAAACTAGAAGACAAGGAATCTTAACAAGACGTAACAGATAAACACTAAATACGAAAATTATAAAAACACCAATTTGTGCTTGCCGATCATCAGATATTATACGACGTAAATATCAAATAAAGTATATGTTTTAAACTATAGTTTTATTCATATATAATTATAACCAATAAGAAACTAGCGATTTTAATTACTTTTATGCTACATTGCATTCAAGGTCAGTGGAAAGAACCAACGCACAGTGTTGCATACTGCAGTTGAATTAGTGGTTTGAAATGCAATGCTTCATAAAACATATATTTCTATGGATTTATCTGATCAATTACTATGATAGACAGACTCGCGTTAAGTGGGATAACACCAGCTGGGTTCGACTCCTGAAGAAGTAATAGTTCTCTTAGAAGAAGTTTGATCGATTGTATACCAGTAAAAAATCGTTCAAACAGACTGAACATAAAATGGCAGAATTTTCTCTATCACACTATCTATGTAGTCATCAGTCTACTCATACCCCCCTAATTGATGAAAGTAATTCGAAGTTGAAAGGATAATCCATGCCACTGTCAAACGCCAAAATAAGCCACTTAATAAGACTTTAAATTGAAAAAAATCACAACACAGGACTTGAACCGACATCCACAACGTTCCGTGCTTACCAATTGTTTAGCTAAATTAGATTGTTATAGAGGAAAGTCTCGCCTTCCTTCAATTAAGCCTCATTGTCCGCCTTCTTCTAGCATAGAAAATTAGTCTCTGGTCTTACCAACAGCTAGCAAAATAACCTTCCGATTTTCCTGTTTCAGTGTATTGCATAAGTATAATATTTTCTAAAGATATACACTAGCATTATACAATATACTTAGTACGATTAGCAAACCGCGTTCGTACATAGTATTTACGCCTGCACACGCACCTACGCGTCTGTTTTGTTCATCTACGCAAAGTGAATTAAACTATTGTTGCTAGTATTATTAATCTAGATTGTTATACACAACGAAACAGACGTTTCCATTCATGAAAGTTGTTTTTCACCGATTTCATCCTCATCATGAAATATAAATAAGTAGATATACGATCGCAAAGACTGCTTTTCTTCTTCATGTCTGATATGAACAGCTCAAGACAGGAGCCTACTCCAGCCGTCTGCTTTCTTTGAATTTGAAGACTATATGGTAACTTTTATAGGTCAGTGGGTAAAGGTTGATATATGTCGTTGGAAAGAAAATTAGAAGATCTACTCAAGTGAAAGAATTCAAGTTATAAAACCCGGTCTATGGTCTAATGCTATCAATGAGTACATGGCTTCTGAAACACGTTGAGATTGGTAAGGAAATCTGGAAATTAGGTCAATAGGTAGTAGAAATGTCAAAACGTTTTTCATCGTGTGGTCAATTGAAAAATGTTTGAACGTGTTTTGATTTCACTCTGTGGATTTAAGGATGTCTATAGCTAAAACATGGCAATAACGCATCTCGTTCAAATATCATATGGCTAGGTCGGTTTCATCTATCATCAAATGAACCTCACCCTCTACCATAAAATAAAAACCCTCTAGATTAGACTATTCTAACTAAAAATACTTAAATACACTATAATACAGAGTATTAAAGAGATAATGTCGCATTATTATTTACAACACAATTGGACAACAACACATTGGAAAACTGGTTTGAAGCTTTTTGCGGTGGAAACTTTTTATAATTCTCCGAAAATGTAATTAGAAGAGAACCTACGCCATGATGACGCAATGTTTGTGCGATTAAGTTACAGAATTTAAAACTTTTTGCCTTATTAACACCCGAATCCCATGATTGGAAAACACGATTTTTAAATAAAACATTTTAACGGTTAAAAACGCGATATTAGTTATTTAACTAATTTGAAAATTATTTTTTAACTACGGCCCGACGTTTCGGATGCTTTGCAGCAGCCGTGGACATACAGATGCAAACTTTGTTTGGTCCAATGATAATATGTTCAACAACCAACTAATCAAGGATTTGATTTCCAACTGGTAATGGTGGTAAAACCGTAAAGTTTAAACCCGTGTTTTGGTGTCAACTGGTGGTTTCCGAACCAACAACAAAACAGGTCGTCAACTCTAATTAATTAAATGTTATAAGGATATACCTTCCATCAAAAGTAACCTTTGTCTACCGTCCTCTCATTTAACAAAAACTACTCGTAGGACGTTTCCTACGCCCTTGCGTAATTAGCAGCTATAGAAAATTATTAAAAAAAAAGTTTTATTTTCTATTTATAACACTTGTTACTTCATAGGCGATTGTTAGTTGTATTACATGCCTGCGTTGGATATGACTGTTTAGCTTATAAATCCTGCTTCATATAAAGACAAGGTCACCCCTTTACATTGCAGATCACAAGAACGGTATAGAATGAACAAGTACGCAGTAACAACGCATAAGAAACAACTTATCGTTACGATTTAATGATCTTATACTGCTTTTAGCATACACCTACGAATATGTATTTATTTGTAGGGTAGATAGCAAAACCGCCATTTTGAAAAAGCAGTGTTTCAATATTACATTATATAAAACTACATTAGTAACTTCATTTGATAAGCTTATTGATGTAATGGTAGCGATGTGTGGCTAATAATCAACGGGTCACGAACCATGTCAGATGAAAAAGTCGTGAAGAATCGCGTTTCGGTTTCAGTCTGTGGATTTCCGAATATCCAAAAATAGGTCGATAGCGCATCTTGTTTAGATGTTACACGGCACAACATTGGATAAAACTACATTAGGAATATAGTATACTTTATACTCAATAATAATATGATATTATTTTCTTTATCACCAGTATTAAATACCAGAGGTCGTGTAGGGCACAGAGATTAAAGCACCAACATTCTCGTTGGGGAAAGTATACTTGCCTTATCCTGATTTATCATGAGGAGACTTTCATTTTAATGCAATAGCTACCTATAATTATATCGATCATACACATTGTTTTATAGGCAATGTTGATGCAAACCTAGGAAGTCTAAGAACGTAGGTGAAGGTAGACCGATATTTAATTGTAAATAATAACAATTTTATAATGTTGTTAATTTTCTACCGCATTAAATTTTTTAATTATAAAATAGTGTTATTAAATATTAGGCGTTATTTTTTGAAACTGTGATTTTTCAGGCAATAGTTTCAGTTAATATATACTAATATTATAAAGCTTGAGAATTTGTTTGTGTGAAGGCACTAATCTCAGAAACTATTGGTAAGATTTTTTTTATCAGCTTAGTTATAGCTATATCATAAAGCTGTGACCGATAAGAGCGAACAAAACAATGGGAAATGTGAGAAAAACGGGAAAAATTTATTCTTCTCTGAGGGATTCCGTTGCGTATGCTGCGAAAACAGTTCTACTTATATATACCAAAAAATAAGTATAATGATGTTAATTTTCGCAATATATGTCTATTTTTAAGATTAACTCGCAACGACCGTTTTTATCG